GTGAAACTAAACAGAACTTTCTCAAAAGAAGAAATTCAAATGGCCAGAAAACACATGAAAAAATGCTCACCATCTCTAGCAATAAAGGAAATGCAAATTAAAACCACACTAAGATCCACCTCACCCTGTTAGAATAGCCATCATCAGCAACACCACCAACAACAGGTGTTGGCGAGGATGTGGGAAAAAGGAACCCTCTTACACTGTTGGTGGGAATGTAGACTAGTACAACCACTCTGGAAAAAAATTTGGAGGCTACTTAAAAAGCTGGAACATCGATCTACCATTTGATCCAGCAATACCACTCTTGGGATATACCCAAAAGACTGTTACTCCAGAGGCACCTGCACCCATGTTTATTGCGGCACTATTCACAATAGCCAAGTTATGGAAACAGCCAAGATGCCCCAGCACTGACGAATGGATTAAGAAAATGTGGTATCTATACACAATGGAATTTTATGCAGCCATGAAGAAGAACGAAATGTTATCATTCGCTGGTAAATGGATGGAATTGGAGAACATCATTCTGAGTGAGGTTAGCCTGGCCAAAAGACCAAAAATCATATGTTCTCCCTCATATGTGGACATTAGATCAAGGGCAAACACAACAAGGGGATTGGACTATGAGCACATGATAAAAGCGAGAGCACACAAGGAGGGGTGAGGATAGGTAAGACACCTAAAAAACTAGCTAGCATTTGTTGCCCTTAACGCAGTGAAACTAAAGCAGATACCTTAAAGCAACTGAGGCCAATAGGAAAAGGGGAACAGGTACTAGAGAAAAGGTTAGATCAAAAAGAATTAACCTAGAAGGTAACACCCACGCACAGGAAATCAATGTGAGTCAATGCCCTGTATATCTATCCCTATCTCAACCAGCAAAAACCCTTGTTCCTTCCTATTATTGCTTATACTCTCTCTACAACAAAATTAGAATAAGGGCAAAATAGTTTCTGCTGGGTATTGGGGGTGGGGAGAGGAGGGGGTGGAGTGGGTGGTAAGGGAGGGGTGGGGGCAGGGGAGAAATGACCCAAGCCTTGTATGCACATATGAATAATAAAACAAAAATGAGAAAAAAAATAAAATAAAAATTCCAATTGATACATAAAAAAAAAAAAAGAAGAATTAACCTAGAAGGTAATACACACGCACAGGAAATCAATGTGAGTCAATGCCCTGTATAGCTATCCTTATCTCAACCAGCAAAAACCCTTGTTCCTTCCTATTATTGCTTATACTCTCTCTACAACAAAATTAGAGATAAGGGCAAAATAGTTTCTGCTGGTATGAGAGGGTGGGGGAGAGAAAGGGGGCGGACTGGGTGGTAAGGGAGGGGGTGGGGGCAGGGGGGAGAAATGAACCAAGCCTTGTATGCACATATGAATAATAAAAGAAAAAGGAAAAAAAAAAGAGTGATAGAGGGGGTGAATTTGATCAAGTACATTATATGCATGTATGGAAATACTGCAATGAAACCCTTTGTACGACTAATATTTGCTAATAAAGCATATAAATAAATCATTGAACGTATAAAAAAGACAATACCACCCAAAGTGATCTACAATTTAATACAATTCCTATCAAAATACCAATGAGATCTCCACAAATATTAAAAATGCCTAAAAGTCAAATGGGACCACCAAAGACCACAAATAACTAAAACAATCTTGAGATAGGAGAAAAGAGCTCAAGGGATCATATTATCTGACTTCACAACATTCCCCAAACCCATGGTAACCAAAACATCATACTGCTGACATTAAAATAGACCCAAAGACCAATACAACAGAACAGAGAACCCAGGAATAAACCCATGTATTTACAGTCACTGAGTTTTGACAAAGTCACCATGAATAAACATTGAAAAACGGACAATTTCTACAATAAATGGTGTTGGTAAAACTGAATATTCTCATGCAGGACAATGAAATTTTCTCTCCCATATCTCTGATCTTCTAAAAACAAAAAACTCATTACCTAAAGGTAAGACCTGACACTATGGAAGCACTAGTAGAAAACATAGAAAAAAATGCTTCAGGACATTGATCTGGGCAAACACTTCTTGGATATGACCCCAAGAGCATAAGCAACAGAAGCAAAAATTGACAAATAGGATAACATCAAACTAAAAAGCTCATTCAAAGCAAAGGAAATTATCAACAGAATTAAGAGAGTGTCTACAGAATGGGAGAAAGTATTTGCAAGCTATTCATCCAACAAGGAATTAGGGTCCAGAATACATAAGGAACTCAAATGACTCAACTGCAAAAACTGGACAATCCAATTAAAAAATAGGGCAAATGATCTGAACAGACAATTTTCAAAGGAGGATATACACATGACAACAGGATTTTGAAAAAATGCTCAATATCACTAATCACCAAGGAAATGCAAATCAAAACTACTGTGATATCATCTCGCCCCTGTTGGAAAGGCTATTATCAAAAAGACAAAGGTAGCACATGCTGGTGAGGTTACAGAAAAAGGGGATTCTCATCCACAGATGGAAATGTAGATTGGTACAGTCATAAGGGGAAACAGAATGGATATCTTTATGGTTTGGATATTAAATGTCCCAAAGTCCCATTTCAACAGATTTTGTTGAGGGCCTGTGGCACTATGGGAGGTGGTGGAACCTTTAGGAGGTGCAGACTAGTGGAAGGAAGTCAGGTCATTGGGGACCTGTCCTTGAAGAAGCTATTGGGACCACAGCCCCTCCTCTTTCTCTCTTTTTGCTTCCAGGCTGCTAGGAGATAAGCAGCCACCCCTGCCATACCTGTGCGTCTTGATGTTCTGCCTTGCCACAGGCCAAAAGCTACAGACAGCTGACTATGGACTGAAGCCTCTGAAACCATGAGCCAAAACAAAACAAAACAAAAACCCCTTTTCCTCCCTTTAAGTTGATTATCTTGGGTATTTTGACACAACTATGGAATACTGACTAACACAAATGTTCCTCAAAAAATTAGAACTATAACCACCATGTGATCCAGCAATTCTACTATTAAGTAGAGGGAAGATCCACTTGTCAAAGAGTGTCACAACTGTTGCACCGCCATTCATAATAATAAGTCAGGGAATCAATCTAGGTGCCCATAATGGATAAGTGGATAATGATATGTGGCATATATACACCAGGGAATATTTTACTGTCATTAAAAAGAATGGAATCTTGTCACGTGCAGTAACACAGATAGACTTGAGGACATTATATTAAGTCAAACAGCCAGGCACAGAAAGACAAATACAGCATATTCTCATTTACATGTGGAGCTAAAGATAATGGTCTATCTATCAGAAGTGGTGACTGAAATAGTGGTTAGATGACGGTTAGTTTAAATAGGGGTAAAACTGGAGAGGAGACATAATTTCTAACATTCCACAGCACTGTAGGACAAGCTATTGCTGGCAACCTTTAAGTGTACATTTAAAATAGCAAGCAGAGAAGATTTTGAACGCTTCCAACACAAAGAAATAATTACATCTGAGGTGGTGGAGATGCCGATTACCTGATCTGCTCATTACACATTGTATACACCTATTGAAATGTCACAGTGTAACCATAAGTCATTCACAATGATTTTGTGTCAATTGAAACTTTTAAAATAGCTTTTAAAAAGAAACAACCTAGAAACTAAAAAGCAGAGAACATTTTAAGAAATCCTCAAGGCCTTGAAAACATAGCCATGGAGTATGGACTTTATCTTGCGGGGAACTGGAAGTCCCAATGGTGATGTATTAACAATGGGATCACCAGCATGAGCAAATGATTAAAAGATGTGTGACCTCCACATTGCTGAGGTAAGAACCTGGACCCTTGGCATAGACTTAGTGGCCCACACCCAGGCCAACTCAATCAGAGTCGTGCTCCCGCTCTCTTCCTTTTCAGAAATCAGATAACGCAGGCGTGTTGACCTTCTGTCCTGCAGGGAGTTGTGTCCAGATTGACATGGGCACAGTGCAGGTCCAGGCCACAGGAAGGGTTCTTCTGTAGGCTAATGCAGGCTCCCTGGAGCAGTCAGGTGGGGCTCATCTAGGCTGAAACCCTTGCTGCTGGGGTTCCAGACATTTCAGAGAGTGGAACTCACTCCCTCAACCCACGTCTCCCCAACCCCACAGGGCTAGAGTGGCTCCTACAGGCTCCAAGAGCCAACCAGGAACCGTTTGGGAATTTTCCAGCTGTTGTTAAACATAGCCATTACTAAGGAATGAGCTATATGAACTAGTGATTGCATCCATTATTTTAAACATGGGTAACAGCTACTCTGAACCACCATTTCTTAACAATTTCCTCCTGGCTGTGCTCTTGTAGCTACGTTCAATACACATTCATGGTGGGAAAGCACCCCAAAACCATTAGCTACTACTGCCCATGAACCTCAACCCCATGCTCAGTGACCTGATGTTGGAAGCTTGAAATAGGCCATAATGGGAGTATTTACACCACAGAAATTGGCAAACAGGCAAATCATGTTTTTTGCTGCAGTGAGTGCTTAAACACTTGGTCTCCTACTACTAATATCTACCAATTGCAATCATAGCATTGTGAAATTTTTTCAGAAGCCTCTACCAGCAGCCCAAGGAGCCCAGAAATCTGGATGGCACAGGGCTGAGAAACAGACAAAGCAACAGGGACAAAGGTGGGTGGGAGGGACATATGTGAAACTGGCCAACTGTGAAGTCCAGGACAGAGAGGCAGACACTGGGAAAATGGGAAGGGCCAGAATGAGACTGGCCAGGGGAGGGGGTCGGGGGGGAGGGAGGCACAGTGGGCAGAGAGCAGATTCCCGAGCCCAGGAGACAGGAAGGCAGGAAGAGCAGGGAGCTGGGACCCAGAAGACAGCACTGGAGGTTCCCATCCTGCAGCAGGAGTGGCCTCAGGGGTGGAGTCACCTACAAGCCCATGCGGCCTCCCTGCTAGAGGATGAGGAGCTGGAGCCCTGGGGAAACCCTGGATGCCCTGTCACCAGCCTGCGAGGCTGAGGGGCACAGAGTGCACTGAGTGTGGGGCCATGGAGAAAGCTCGGCCACAGTGGGGCAACTCATTGCAGTTCTTGCTCGCCTGCATCTCCTACGCCGTGAGCCTGGGTAACATGTGGCGCTTCCCCTACCTGTGCCAGATGTACGGCGGAGGTGAGTGTGGAAACCATGAACTTGCAGTGAGACTTGGCTCCATTGTCACCAGCCCACAGCTGAGAGCGTCGCACCTTTAAACTTTAGTCTACTGGATCTCGATAAGCTAGACTGCTGGACCGCACCTCCAGAGGACTGATCCAGAAGCCGGTGGGGAAGGCAGGTTTCTGCCTTTTCTTCCAGAGATGGTGCCTTTGCTGTGGTATTTCCAGGTCATAAAATGTTCTCCTGTTCTTCTCTAGGTTTTACCCAGCTTCAGGGTCAGGTTTTGTTTTAAGTAGCTACTTATCTCCCGCTGGACTTTTCTCAGGTCCTCAGCCAAGGAGCCAAGATCTGGGGAGAGATGGCTGAGGCATGTGGACAACACAGGACAGCCATGAGCCAGCCCTCCGCAGGCAGATGTGGGTGGCCATGCACAGTCCACCTTCCTCCATACACGTGGTTGGTAGTAGGGAGGGCATCCACAGCTCTACTGACACACCTGGTTCCCCACCACGCCCATGGGGATTGGTCTGCTGCTGGCTCTTTGGGAATTGGTAGGTTTGAAGTTTCTCTGAGTCTTATTACCCTTCACTGAAATGAAATTTTAGCCAGAAAGTTCCTATTTAAGACAGATACACACAAAGGTGCTCTGTAAAAGGAAGGTGTGGCCTGGAGCTCTATGTATTAGGGACCCTCCTGACTCCCCTCTCCCTACTCCCCAAACCCTGAACTATCTCTGAAGATATCAGGCCTAGACTAAGATTCTGTGGCCCAGGCAACTGTGAGGCAGCTGAAATCCTGGGGATGGGGTAGTGGGGTCTCTCAGGACAGGAACCAGGCCACTCTTCTCCTACCCCACCCCCAGCTCACAACAAGCTGGGATAAGTGCTGAGTAAAAATTGTTTCTGCCTTCTGTGGGCACCATCAAGGCCATGTGCAAACCCAAGGGAAGTGTGGAGAGGGGGAGTTGGTGGATAGACTTACCTGTATTAACAGGTAACTTGAAGTCTCTCACTCCCAGGTAGGCTGTAACACTGAACCATGCTTTTAACCTTGCACTAATAATTTGCCTGGAGCTCTAGCTAAGTAAATAACTGAAGAAAAACATTGGTAAAGCTCATCCTTGCACTAAAAAGAGACTTGTTAAAGCAGAATAAATATCTCCTAAAGATGGACTTTTCTGTCTTAAATAAATATTTTCTTAAGGAAAGACACCTAGCTTAAAAGGAGCATCTAATGACACCCATCCTTTGTTTAAAAGGATGCTCATGGATAACACATTTATGTCATAAGGATCCTGATTTACTAAACTGACCAGACTTGAAATCTCTTGGCCCAATTGATATTGTCAAAACAGTGTAACAGCAAGAATGACTGAATGTACAAAATGTCCAGAACAAAGAGGAGTACATATCCTAAGGTGTTTGGAAGATTCTCAAACATATATCATCTATATCAGTTAAGCAGACGTGGTCTCTGGGAATCCTGAACTTACCAATTTTAAAAACAAAAGATGCAATTAGAGAAGGGTTGTCACAGCAAATGATTACCCTCCAGGTAGCTGAAATGAAAGAGCACGCACAGAGGTATGGGCCTGCAGACCCCTAGACTGATAGAGCTTTATGAACATGCCTTCCACAAAGGACTTGGCACACTTCTCATGTGTTCACATCTCCAGCCTGTTGGGATGTGCTTTGTATCCTGCTTTTCTGCTTTGCTAAATAAAACTTCTATAAACTGTTCACCTCACTAGACTCATCCTTAAATTCCTTTTCTGTGCTGATGTCATGAACTTGGTTGGCATCGGGGCCATGAATGTGCTCAGCCACCTGGGTTGAGGTTCATGCACTCTGGAAACGGGTCCTGGTTCTAGAGACACAAGTATTCAAAGATTTCAACGATGACATGTCTACATGACATCCATGGACAGATGGACAGATGGCAGATAGATGGATGACAGGAATGATGGAGAGGTGGCTGTGTGGATGGGGAAAGACAAACGGTAAGAGAAAGGGAGGCTGTGTGGAAAGATTCCAGGGCAGATGGGTGGGAGGTAGGACACATGGACAATCAGAAAGGCAGAATGATGGAAGGGTGATTGCACAGAGGTGGTGAGTGGCCGAGTAAGGCCATCAGTGGTGCTGGCCTGGCCCTCAGCTCTGGATGTCCACAGGCAGTTTCCTGGTCCTATCTCGTCATGCTCATCGTGGAGGGAATGCCACTCTTGTACCTGGAGCTGGCCGTGGGGCAACGCATGAGGCAGGGCAGCATCGGAGCCTGGAGGGCCATTAGCCCCTACCTCGGTGGTGTAGGTAAGTGGGGGTTCTCTCCAGTCCCCTCCTACCCAGAGACCCCATAGTGTTCCCTGGGCATGTGAGGAATTCACCCTCACAGAAGTCGCTGGGGACCTCACAACACAGTTCTTCTCCTCTCTGGATCCAGTGTGGGGGTCTGTGAAAGGGAAATGGCTGGCCAGCACAGGAGCTCTAACTCAGTCCCAGGCAGCAACCATTCTGGGGACGCACACACCTGCTCCCTGCTCATTAGCAGCTCTCCCCTTTGCTGAGCACCTACTGTGTGCCAGGTGCTGTCGACAGAGTGTAAGTGCATGAGCACATTTAATGCCCATTACGCTCCCGAGAGGTTATGGGGTGCTGCTAAAGCCTCCAGTGTGCAGAAGTGGAGGAGCACATGGGTAGCAGGGGGCGCTGTGTCCCACCGTGCATCTCCCCAGTTCCCTCCAGCCCATCCTCTGGCACCTTCATGACATTATTCACCTGCCCAGCACAACCCCTCGATTCAGGGACACCAATATCCACCATCTCTTCTGTCTAGCCTTCCCACCTGAGAAAAGGTACAGGCAGGGAAAGAGCGACATTTCCAGAGCAAGGAGGGGTCAGTTTGATGTGACCTGGCCTCAGGAGTCAACTCCAAAGCCAAACCACCTAACAATTAGCAGAAAGCCAGCAGCTGCTATCACCCAGGGGCACAGGCACCTGCTTATCAGCCAGCATTCCCAGTACCAGGTTGGAGGCCTGCTCTGAAGCGATGCTGACTCCATGGTGTAAACACTCCCACCATGGCCAAGGTCACCCTACTTATAGTTGCCCCTGTATGTTGGATGGGAACAGCTGGGGACAGGGCCCTGGGGGGACAGTGCAGGCAGCTCCAGAGCACCCTGTTGGCCCAGCCTCCCTTTACCCACAGCCCCACCCTGAGCTCTGCATAGGTCTGACCAGGTCAGGGAAGCCTGTTCTCTACAACTCAATCCCTCTCACAGCCTGACACTGTTGCTCCCTGACACTACGGGGCAGGATTTGGCCACAGTGACTCAACCTCCAGAGGGAACAACTGTCATATCGGGAATTTGGATGGTTTTGCAGTGATAAATTGCTTCTCACACTAGGTTTGAATCCTAGTTCAGCAGTTTATTAGCTGGGTGATCTTGGGCAAGTTCTGTGCATCTGCTTTATCCTCTGTGAAATGGGCACAACACTTTTGTGGGCACCAAAGGCACATGAAGTGCTTAGCACAGTAACTGGTGCTTAGATCTCAAAAAATGTCATCAGAGCTATGCATGGTGGTAAATGCCAGTAATCCCTGCACTCAGAAAGTTAGAGCAGGGGGAAGTTTAAGGGAAGCCTGGTCTACATCATGAGGACCTCTCTCAAAACAAAACAAAATAAAACAAATAATGTCATAAGCTTCACATCCCAGAAAATGAGAAAGACTCTGGGGGAAAGAAAGAACCCTCATGAAGAGGTCACAGGTATATTACATAGCATGTATGAAAATGGAAAAATGAGACTTGTTGAAACTACTCAAGGAATGGTAGGAGGGGGAATAAAGGAGAATGATGGAGGGAGTGATATATTGTAAGAACCTTTGTAAATGTCATAATGTACCCCTGTACAACAATAAAATGATAATTTAAAGAAAGAGGTCACAGGTACATGGTCACAATGAATAGTTGCAAAGCTGGGGGGGTTTGCTGCCGTGGGTGAGAGCTGCCCTGGGAATGGGCACTGGATGGAGCCACCCTTACCTGGTCCTCAGCACAGCCCTCTTCTTCCTCACAGGTATTGCTAGCATGATGGTCTCCTTCTTCCTCTCCATCTACTACAATGTCATCAATGCCTGGGGCTTCTGGTACCTCTTCCACTCCTTCCAGGTGAGCCACAGCCCTAGAGTAGAAACAAAAAGGAAAGAGGATGTAGGGCCACCTACCTGGGGATCCAGATGTGAGGATGATAGCCTCAGGGGAAGCCAGCATGCAGCAGGAGGTGATGGAGGAAGCTGAGAGTTCCAAATCAAGGGAAGGGCACTTGACCCAGTTCCACAGCCCCTTGAATTGCAGGCAGACTATGCAGGTGGACTAGTGTTTGTGTGCATGTACACCTTTCTGGGGAGCAGGTCCGTGGCTTTCATTGGAATCTTCCTGAAGGATGTGCACCCCTCCCCCTCAAAAAATACTAAGAGCCATTTTATAGTGGCCCCAGGAGAAAATACGGTAGAGACTGATGGGGAGCGACTTCACCACCCCAGCAAGACTGCAGTGGTGGGGCCTCCTCTTCTCCTGTCCCCTCTTACACGTTCAAGCCAGGGACATGGTCCTTCCAGATTTCTGGCTCCAGGCTGAGTCTTCCTTTTCTTTGCACACTCAAAAGTTCCCTGTTGTCACCTTACTGTGATGTAGGCTCTTCTCAAAGACACAGATTTTTTTTTATTGTTTTATTATTCATATGTGCATACAAGGCTTGGGTCATTTCTCCCCCCTGCCCCCACCCCCTCCCTTACCACCCAGTCCGCTCCCTCCCTCTTCCCCCCACCCCCTCAATACCCAGCAGAAACTATTTTGCCCTTATTTCTAATTTTGTTGTAGAGAGAGTATAAGCAATAATAGGAAGGAACAAGGGTTTTTGCTGGTTGAGATAAGGATAGCTATACAGGGAGTTGACTCACATTAATTTCCCGTGCATGTGTGTTACCTTCTAGGTTAATTCTTTTTGATCTAACCTTTTCTTTAGTTCCTGGTCTCCTTTTCCTATTGGCCTCAGTTGCTTTAAGGTATCTGCTTTAGTTTCTCTGCGTTAAGGGCAACAAATGCTATCTGGTTTTTTAGGTGTCTTACCTATCCTCACCCCTCCCTTGTGTGCACTCGCTTTTATCATGTGCTCAAAGTCCAATCCCCTTGTGTTTGCCCTTGATCTAACGTCCACATATGAGGGAGAACATATGATTTTTGGTCTTTTGGGCCAGGCTAACCTCACTCAGAATGATGTTCTCCAATTCCATCCATTTACCAGCGAATGATAACATTTCATTCTTCTTCATGGTTGCATAAAATTCCATTGTGTATAGATACCACATTTTCTTAATCCATTCGTAAGACACAGATTTTTAAACCAGGCATTTGATTATCCCCGTAGCTGACGCTCATTGCAGAAAATGTGGAAGGGGCTGGAACTGAAGAAAAGAGAGAAGCCAAATTCCACATTGAGGGCCAGACTTTGTACCTAAGTTTTCCTTCCCACAGTCACCTCCATCTCAGTCTCTTCCCTGATGAGAAAAGAGGAGAAACAGCAAGGAAGACCACTTTGATTCTGTCCATCAAAGGTCCATGGACAGTCCTTCTGCTTCGGAGCCCCTTCCAAGGTCACATGATAAGGACAGTAACAGCAGCAGCAGGCATTACTTGCATGAGGCCTGGGCCAGGCAGTGTCCAGCACTTAGAATTTTTTATTCATGCAGTCACCACAATTTGAGAGCCTAAGAGCGATCAGCCACCTACCTCCCCAGGGACTTGACACACTCAGCCACAGGGGCCCTTCTCAGTGAGCAGATGCAAGACCCCAAGTCCTTACCTGCTGACACAGATGAGGGGGAGGAAGGGACTGCAAATTGCTCAGCTGGACCAGCTCATACTGCTCTGCAGCTTCTTCACAAAGGCTATATACTGGGCACTTCTCTCCTTCCTCGAGGTTTCTCTGTCCATGTGACCTCACCATTCAGGAGTCTAACACCAGTGTCTTCACAGGTCAGTTGGTTATTAAGAGGGCAAAAGGACAGCTACAAGGACCTGAAGGCCTATGCCAGGGAGCCACTCAGTTCCCCTCACTGCATCCTATCAGTGAAGGCAAGCCCTCACACAGGCAGGGCAACACTCTCAGCGCAGGGAGAGGACTGGAAGTGACAGTAGTCAGTCATCTTAGGAGCCATCGGGGTCAAAGCTAGAAACTGGTCTTCATATTCAACACATGCAGGGGCATGCGGGGGGCAGGAAGAGTGGTGAACCCTGGAGCTCAGGTCTCACAGGAGCACAGAGCCTGAGTACTGTCCAGGGTGTCAACTTGGCTCCCACTGTCACTGGAGAGTGGCCATGGCCCATCAGGCAATGCCCTGGCCTTTGTGCGTACAGTACAGTGAAATAGGGGACTGAAGCCAAGGAGGCAGTCCGACTTGCTTCTGTTACTGGAACATTTTTGTCTAGTGACTTTGAGCTTCTGGAACCCAGATCCCTGAAAAACCTGATAAACAAGGAACTGATTTTTGCAGAGCAGGGTCATGATTTCCTACCAAATCTGGTCAGAATAATTTTTCTTTCCTCGACTCATACAGTAAATCTTTTGTCCTCTTGGCCATGGATCGTGCTCACTGCACAAGCATCATTTAGGCCCTTTCGCTCATAAGTACCACAGAACCCCGTTCTAAGTAGTAAAGCTGAGGAAGATCTCACTGGCTCCACACCACAAAGTCCAGGAGTCTAACTGCCTAGAGCCCAGCTGACTCCAGCCCTAAGGAGGTCACTGGTCCCAGGTTCTCTGACTCAAGGGGCATGATGGCTTCAGGGTGCTGAAGCTCATCTCCTCTAATTTCCAAACCCAACATTCATGGAAGAAATAACTGTCTCCACCAGCAGAGATGTCCTGATGAGCTGTTGGTTGAGGAAGCTGGAGGAGGGCCAAGTAGAAGAGAGGCATACTATGGTGAGGGGAGTGTATTTGGCTTTCTCTCCTTGGTCTTGAGTTGACAAAAACTAGAAGCCATTGACCAGGTCCTGACCATTCTGGCTGATGGCACAGAGCTTGTGGTTTGAGCTCTTGGCCTGGCCCCTGCAGAGGTGGTGGATCAGAGTTCTGCTGCCATAGCTCACCTGGCCTTTGTCCATTTGATATCCAGTCTTTTAGATCCACGGCAGAGCTCAGTCATCCTGAGGAAACACCTGCAGAATCGCAGTGAAATTAGAGCCCTATTTTAGGCAGCTTTGCATTACCGCATTTCAATGTCTGTGGCAGCTAACTTACAGACAGCAAAGGTGTATTTAACTCATGTGTGAACAGTTCAAACACCCAGATTAGATGACTCCAATAGTTTGGCATCTCACGAGGATGGTTGTAGTGCATGTGGGAACATCTACAAGAGTAGAGAGAGAAAGAAACAGGAAGTTCCTCAAGCCCCTTTGAGAGTACCACCTCAATGACCTAATGACCTCTCACTAGGTCCCACCTCTTAAAGATCCACCGCAGCCTCCAATACCACCCTCGTGGGAATTGAGTCTTGACATAAGGGCGTTGGGGAACACTCAACATAGAAACCACACCACCTCCCTTGAGCCCCTGACAAACTCCCTGATTCCCTGTCTGCCTCAGATACTCCAGCTGCCTGTCCTTTGGGTCCAGCCTTCTTTTCTAAGTGCCCTCCTATCAGGGCCACCTCCCATCATCCCACCAGACCACTGCCTCACTCTCACCTCTCTGTTGATGCTCATTTGATCAAAGGATCCCCTGCCATGGTCTGTCTGCCCATTGAATGGAAACCACACAGGCTATGATGAGGAGTGCGAGAAGGCTTCATCAACACAGTACTTCTGGTACAGGAAAACGCTCAACATCTCACCATCCATCCAGGAGAATGGAAGCGTGCAGTGGGAGCCGGCGCTGTGCCTCACCCTGGCTTGGTTGATGGTGTACCTGTGCATCCTGCGGGGTACCGAATCTACTGGCAAGGTGGGCAGGGAGCATGAAGGACCCCGTGCCTGGGCAGGTGGGCATGTGGGGGGCCATGCCTCTGTCAGGCAATGCCAGGGCTTGAAGCATGCTGGGGCAGAGTGCATGGATGTTGTTGCATGCAAAATTCATCTGTTAGGCAAAGTAAAGATGGTCAGAGGTAGTCGAGGTTGCAAACCTGAGTCTGCAAAGGATGCTTTCAGCACCAAAACGATGAGCATTTGTGTATCATCTAGCTCCAGTCCATACCCCTGAAGCACTGAGACAAGGAGGGTTCTTTCTTTAAAACTTTGAACCACTGCACACATCCCCAAGACACCTTTGCCCAAGGCTCTTAAATTCAGCTGCACGATGGAATTGTATGGAGAGCTTTAAACACCTCGTGCATCAGTTCTCCCTCCAGAGTGCTGCAGTCATCAGTGTGGGAGAGACCTGAGCATAGATGTGCAAGCCCTGGGTGATTCTAGTGCGCAGCTGGCCGTGGCGCCCCATCCTCTACATGCTGTGTGACATCTGAACCTTTTCTCCTTGCTTCTTCCCATGTTCACATTCGTCTTGGGGCTCATATGGATGCCGTGTTTCCATTACCTGTGCCTGTCTCAAGGCCAGCACATACTCCATATCCCACTTACTTGTCCTGCCTCATACCTAGTCACTCCTCATAGCAAACCCACCATGGCTGAGCACCCACACTGTCTCATTCTTGCAACAGCCCTTCATGGTAGATGCATGGTGCTGCTCCGCTGAGGCTTCAGGAGTTAAAGTGACCTTCTGAGGGTCCAAGTAGAGAAGGCAGAGGCAGGACAGAGCCCAGCTTTACCCCAGAGCTTCCTATCATCTTGGTTCAGTGACCTACCCCCAAATGCTCTCTGCCTATCTTTAATGACTTAACCACTTCCAACTTTCCCCTCTGAGAGTCCTCAGAGTCCACCTTTCCTTCCCTCCTGACCACCTGAGGCGTCTCCTACAACACTGACATATTTTTCACAAGGCAGATAGTCCAAAAGAATCCACAAGTATCCAGGTACAGTATCCTTCTGCCTGATAGGATGTTTATGTTGGTTCCAAGCCCCCATGATGACCAGCCTCGTAGCTCCAAAGCACCTCATGCCAGGGCCAAGCTGAGGGACCGGGGAAACCAGGCTCTATTTCCTAGGTGAGCTCAGACCCTGCAGTACCCACTCTGCCCCACCCAGCTCTTGCACATCTAGATCTGAGGGCAACACCTGCACATTGACAGATTTAATGGGACCTTCCCTCCCCAGTTCAACAGAAGTACCTAACAGCTCCATTGATAGGGCCATGTTAGTCTTCCCAAAGATTGTCATTCCCTGGCCTCCTGTGTTCCAGTCTCCTGCTTTTCCTCTGAATTCTCTGCATTGGTCAGAAATGTCTTCTCCTGATAGGTTATGATGGGTCACATGCCCACCCATCTGCCAACTTGAAGGGAGATAGGGAGCTACCTTAGTGAGGACTCCAGAGAGCCTCTGGGAAACTTGGTCCCTGGGGGAGGGGTAGGAAGGAAATTTCAGGATTTTTCCTGAGAGTTCTCTAAGTGTCCAGTCCTATGGAGTAGCTCAGTTTTCCCCTGTAGTACCTTGGGGTTCCTACAGACACTGGTCATAGGACTTGACTTCCTCATTATTCATCTGCATCTCATACCTGCTCTGATGGTTTATGATTCTGGGTGGGTTTATTACTCTTCTCAAATTATAACGATCTCAGCTAAGAAGCAATGATAACATTCTATCTGTTGTCCCCTGGGTGAGAGGACACAGAGTCACTCTGGTGGTCATGGAAATTCAAGGGAAGGTGGCATTACCACTCAGAAGAAATGGGGACTAGGTGTTATTTAAGCCCCTCGGGACATGGAAAACCCCAGTCCTGAAAATCCCCAGTCCTGGGAAACCTGTCCTGCTCCAAGCCCCTGAATTCCTTTTCTTTTTAGACACAATACAGATCTTGTGATTTTGTTTCCTACTTTGCTTGGGCCTTTAGGAAGCTCAGAGCCAAATCTGGTTGCCTTTCACTCTGGCCTCATTACTGGATTACCTACATTTTCTTTCCACAGTGGCGTCTTTATTTAGCACTTTGCAAATGTCAATACTAATTTTTGTGCCTCTAATCCTATCTGGAATACGGTTGGGTTGAAGGGAGGGTAGAGGACAGAAGCTCTGATACCTGTTTATGTCTCCTCTACTGAACAAAAGGAGACTCAGGCAACTACATCCCACCCACCCATTTCTCCAGACCAAATTCCTACCTTTTGTTCAACTAAGATGCCAATGCCTCTTCCAGCTGTGAGCAGGGTATAGCCTGAATATATATGATGTGGTATTTCAGGGACATGGGTCTACCCTGCTGGGGTCACCTCCCCAGGAGGCTGATTCTGCCCTCTGGCACTCACAGGTGGTCTATTTCACTGCATCGCTGCCCTCTTGCGTGCTGGTCATCTACCTTGTCAGGGGCCTCATGCTCCATGGAGCCATCAATGGCGTGGTGTACATGTTCACACCCAAGGTATGGACTGGAGTGGGGAGGGCCCTGAGGATGTCCCTCACTCATCCTGCCACCTTCTAGAATGGCTAGAAGTAGGGGAAGATGGAGGTGGGTTGGGCCCCATGGTGGGGAGGAGTGGATCCCCCTGGGACCTGGACTACTTCTTATGACATGTAGTCCTCAGCCCTATGCATTCTGAGCAGTAAGTCTTCCTTCCAGTCCCTCCAACTGCACTCACTGCGCCAGTGGACTGATGCCTAGCCTCTTTCTGGCAAGTCTCACTCGAAGCCCCATTCAGATTCTCCTCTGAGCTGCTTACAACAGGTAGCACTTCAGTCATCTCCCTTGTTGTTCCCACTTGTCCTCATGCCTTTTCCCTCCAGGTTCCCAATCCACACTCTCCAGGGACACAATAGCCAGTTCTCAGTGGAGGCCATGTTGCTTTTGGGTCAGAGTCCATGCAGCCAATTTAGTGCCTGGAAACAAATACTTATAGCATTCCCCAAATGTGTCCCCTCATTCCAAATGTCTCTGCCAGTGCATCCAGACGTCAACTGCATCTCTGCAGGTCCAGACCCCTACAGGGCTGCCTGGTGAACCTGAGGCTCCATGTGTTTTGGGTTATTTGACCTTATAATATCCAACTGCACACATACTGAAGTTAGGTGGCATGGAGGATATGCCAGGAGGATTGCCAAGGAGATCATCTGCTAGGGACACACAGGGCCCAGACCAGGGTTGGGAGAGCTGGGTTCCAATCCAGTTGAGTGTCCTGAATGCCTGTATTAGAGGAAAGTTCCTCCCCTTTCTGGGCCTCCTCTCTCATGGCTGTGAGTCTGGAACTGGAGCCCAGGGTTCCTCAGTCCTACCCCTGTTGACCTTCCAGATTGAGCAGCTGGCCAACCCCAAGGCCTGGATCAATGCAGCCACACAGGTCTTTTTTGCACTGGGCCTGGGGTTTGGAAGCCTCATCGCCTTCGCCAGCTACAATGAGCCCTCCAACAACTGCCAGAAGCATGCCATCATTGTGTCCCTTGTCAACAGCTCCACCTCCATCTTTGCCAGCATCGTGACCTTCTCTATCTATGGCTTCAAGGCCACCTTCAACTATGAAAACTGCTTAAACAAGTGAGTCTGGCTGTCTCGTGGAAATCTGGACCTCAAGTGGGGAGCAACTTTCCAAAGCTCTGAGCTGAAGGGGTGACTGGGTAGCTGGATGCACAGAAGACAAGGCCACCGGCAATGGGGTCCTCAAGGCTGGGTTCCATTTCAGGCTCCCGCCACCAGCACTACAACCCAAGGCCCTTTGGGCTAGGTCTGCCTCCTGGGATGAGGTGTTGAACATATTTAGTAAAACAGGGCACCCAACAAACAACTACCTCAGTGTAACCAGCAACCTCTCTGGCCAAGCCATGGAAGTTACAGAATTTACAGGCTGTGTCTCCCTCCCAAAATACAGGAACATCTTCCAGATGGAAATGTGTCCAGTATGGTAGTCAGTAGCCACTAGCAACTATTTCTACAATAGGGTTTAAATTAATGGGCTTAATTTGATTGAAATATTTTAAGTTGCACATTAACTTAAGTAATTGCAGATTTACTATTAGTTCCTCAGTGGCACTAGCCACCTTCAAGTCCTCATGGGTACCAACTTGGGCACCAAGTCAGACAGCCAATATGGACACTTCCACCATTGCACAAAGTTCCATCAGGCCTTACCGGTCCATGCCTCACTGTAGGGGTTGGTCCTGTCGTCATCCCTGTTCCTATCTGAGGCGTCTTCAAAGCCATTCCCAGCTGTCCTGTCCTCTGGAGGGTCAGCAACCCCCAAATTCCCTTCCTCACCTAGGCAGGAAGGAAGGGGCTGGCAGGAGGGCAGCCTGGCACCCACATTTCTGAGGCTTTGGGGACAGTGAACATCAAGCTGATGGTCTGCTCTGCAGGGTGATTCTGCTGCTGACCAACTCTTTTGACCTTGAAGATGGCTTTCTGACAGCCAGCAACCTGGAGGAGGTGAAGGGCTACCTAGCGTCCACCTACCCGGGCAAATACGGCGAGGTGCTCCCACACATTAAAAACTGCAGCTTGGAATCTGAGCTGGACACGGTAAGGTGCGGGGGAGGTCGGCAGCCCCTCCACATGCTTCCCAGGGACCTTGGAGAGCTGCCTGCAGGCCAGGAAACCAGAGAACAGAGATTCACCCACACTTTCCCCAGGGGCGGTGGGGGAGGATCGTGTCAGGAATCCTACTCACTGTAAACGCTGCTGTGTGGCTGTGACCTTCCTCTGTTTCCTTTTCTAAGTTTTAATAATACATAAAGTACAGCGGATAATATAATAAACACACATATAGCCACCCCTCAGAATGAACACGTGTAAACTTTTTGTCTTTTCAGATTTTTTGTATTTTTATATTACTGAACTAATTTTCTTTAAGAATATATTGGCATACCCTTTGTTATTTTTGTGTTACCTTACTGCTATATTGCTACCATTGTGTCTTTCCCCCTATTTCTATCATTTTTGTTTCAAAAGAAACCTAAAAGCTTTTATATTTTGACCTTGATGAACTCTCTTATGAATTTGTCTACAGCCTTGCTTCTGTTTTCTGTGTAAACTATCATACCACCTGCAGGTACAATTTTGTGTTTTTTTTTCAGTATTCGTACCTCATTCCTTTTTTTTTCTTTCTTTCTTTTTGGCAGTCCTGGGATTTGTTGGGGGTGGGGGGCGTGGTGCTGGTGCTTGAACTCAGGGCCTACATCTTGAGCCACTCCATCAGTCCTTTTTTGAGGTAGGGTCTTGTAAACTATTTGCCTGGGACTGGCTTCAAACCTCCATCCTCCTGATCTCTGCCTCCTCAGTAGCTAGGATTACAGGTGTGAGTCACTGGCTCCCAGTAGTCCTGGGATTTGAACTCAGGACCATACACTTGCTATGCAAGTGCTTTACCACCTGAGCCAGGCCTCCATCTATCCCCTTTCATTTATTTTTCAGATAGAGTCTCATATTGCTTGGGGCTAGTCTTGACTGAGATCCTCCTACTTCTGCCCAAAGAGTTATCTGGGATTACAGGCATGTACCACACAATAGGCAGTTTATAATTTGAGATACTCTCACTTTTTTACTGCTATCCTCCCATATACCCGGGATTACAGGATTCTAACACCACACTTGGCCCTCATTCTATTATTTTGTTATTGTATTTACTGGGACTTTGAACACAATAGAAGTGGAAGTGTTAGTGTGCTTATTTTCTACTTCTTATTTTTAATGTCAAAACTTCTACAGAATGTTGTAGTGAAATCTTTTCAAGAATAGTGGAGAGGGAGAGTCCACGTCCAAGCTTCAAGGCCTGGATCCCTTCAGGAACCCATGAGACCCTGTAGGATACTTACTTAGCATTCTCACTTCCAATTTCCCTTGTGGTTTTGGCCACTTGGGTGTGTTTCTTCACTTTAGTTTTGAACTCTGTCTCCAGGAATTATATGGTTATTGATTTATTTAGAATTATTCCCCTGTTCTGTTTGTTCTTTTTTCTTTCCTCATTCCTTTATTCTCTATTGTCTGCATACTTGGCAAGGTCCTGGGTTCACTCTCCAGCCCCAAGTGGATATGTGTGTATATATAAAATATATAACCATAAATTGGACACTATTTTTTTTTGCAATTGTTGATGCTGGATATCAAAATCAGGGACTTATGTGTGCTAGAAAGCACTCTATCACTGAGCTTCATCACCAACCTTGATTTTTTTTTTAATTTTTCTTTTATTATTCATATGTGCATACAAGGCTTGGGTCATTTCTCCCCCCTGCCCCCACCCCCTCCCTTACCACCCACTCCCCTCCCTCTCCCCCACCTCAATACCCAGCAGAAACTATTTTGCCCTTATTTCTAATTTTGTTGTAGAGAGAGTATAAGCAATAATAGGAAGGAACAAGGGTTTTTGCTGGTTGAGATAAGGATAGCTATACAGGGCATTGACTCACATTGATTTCCTGTGCGTGGGTGTTACCTTCTAGGTTAATTCTTTTTGATCTAACCTTTTCTCTAGTTCCTGGTCCCCTTTTCCTATTGGCCTCAGTTGCTTTAAGGTATCTGCTTTAGTTTCTCTGCATTAAGGGCAACAAATGCTAGCTAGTTTTTTAGGTGTCTTACCTATCCTCACCCCTCCCTTGTGTGCTCTCGCTTTTATCATGTGCTCATAGTCCAATCCCCTTGTTGTGTTTGCCCTTGATCTAATGTCCACATATGAGGGAGAACATACGATTTTTGGTATTTTGAGCCAGGCTAACCTCACTCAGAATGATGTTCTCCAATTCCATCCATTTACCAGCGAATGATAACATTTCGTTCTTCTTCATGGCTGCATAAAATTCCATTGTGTATAGATACCACATTTTCTTAATCCATTCGTCAGTGCTGGGGCATCTTGGCTGTTTCCATAACTTGGCTATTGTGAATAGTGCCGCAATAAACATGGATGTGCAGGTGCCTCTGGAGTAACAGTCTTTTGGGTATATCCCCAAGAGTGGTATCGCTGGATGAAATGGTAGATCGATGTCTAGCTTTTTAAGTGGCCTCCAAATTTTTTTCCAGAGTGACCAACCTGGATTTTTTGAGACAGGGTCTCTACGTGCTCAGGTTGGCCTGGAGCTCCAATCCTCCTGACTTTACGTCCAGAGTGCTGGAATTACAAGCATGCACCACTACTCTTGACTGACACTATATTTTATACAGAGTGTTTGTATTTACCTACATGTTTGCTGTTTTGTGTGTTCATCATTCCTTCTTGCATTCCATTTGTCTTGGTTGGGGGGGAGTTCCCTGAAAACAACTTCGTTTAGAGCAGGTTTCAAGAATGGTAAATTTTCTTAGGTTTTGCTTATATATAATCTCTTTTAGAGATTTGTTCCCCCAGCATAGAAACTTACAGGTTAGCAGTTATTGTCTCTCAACTCTTTGAAGCTATTTGCCTTGTGGTTCTGGTTTGCAGTGTTGTTGCTGAAATTGTCTTATTCTTTGTAAGCAAACAGTTTCCTCTTTGGTTTCTCCCATAAGTCAGACATGTCTTTGGCATCTGTGAAACAGGCATGGATACTTACTCATCTGATCTAGGCTTGGGAGACACCGAGATTCTCCCAAACTATGGATTCATGTTTCTTATCAGTTATGGCAAACACATCCCTATCATGTCTTAACATAAGATACATGTCTCCTAGAATTTCACTTACATCTGTTAGTCCTTCTCCTACTATCCTACAGTCTCTATTTTTTCCAATCTCCTTATCTATTTTTTGAGGCTTCATTATAGGTTGTTAAGAGAGAAAAATCATAACAAATTAGTCTTATAGATCTTGACTGGCTTGATCCTAGAATCAGGCAGCAGGCTAGATAAAACAGCTTCAGAATGCTCTGGCTCAGCCGGGTGCCAGTGGTTCACGCCTATAATCCTAGCTACTGAGGAGGCAGGGATCAGGAGGATCACGGTTCGAAGCCAGCCCCAGGCAATTAATTCCGCAAGACTCTATCTTGAAAATACCTAACATAAAAAAGAGCTGGTGGAGTGGCTCAAGGTGTAGGCCCTGAGTGCAAGCCCCTGTACCACAAAAAAAAAAAAAAAAGAATGCTCTGGCTCACCACATGTGCAAGTTTTATTCATAGTCAGAGAAAAGAAAGTGACATACAGAAGGCAGAAGTGAACTGCAGTGAAAGATCAATTGGTTAGAGTTGGTGCTTGCCTTATTTGAACCTGGTTTGAGCAGCTGGCTGCCTGTGGTTACTGCAGCTGGGCTGTTGTTTACTGACACTGTAGTCTGTTAACACATCAAGTTAGATTACAGTTAGAGTTACAGGCCAAATTGAAATTATGGGTGAGGTAGCTTTAGGCTAAATTGAGCTCAACTTAGCAGGATTGACTGAGATGTTTCCCAGTTCACCAAATCTCTCTTCACCCCTGTCTAATCTGGTATTTAACAATAAATTGAACTATTAATTCAATAATTACATTTTTTATTTTTTACACAATATTTTATTGGAAATATTCTTTCCAATGCTTATCACATGGCTACTTTTGTAATTTTATTTTTGATGTCACTTCATACATAGCTTTTCCAGTGACAATCACTAGCAGGAGAATGAGATCAAATAACCTTAGTGGAGAGAGTATTTTAACACTGACACTATTTAAAGTTGTTGGTTCATAATAAAAAGCAAATAAATGTTTATTAAGTTTTAGGATTATTTAAAAATTCTTCGTGATCACACTGTCTGTATCCAAGGCTGGATATTCCCACTGTGCCTTAATGTTATGCCCTTGAGATGACCTATGGATTCCTGTATCAACTCAGACTGCCACAAGATATTGTAGAACAGGTAGGTTAAAAAACGGGAATTTATGACTCACAGTTCTTTAGGTTGGTTTTGAGCAGGGTTAGGTTTCCAGTGAAGGTCTGCTTCCTGGTTCAGACACAGATGTCTTCTCAGTGTCCTCAAATAGTGGCAAGTGCTTGCTCTCTCTTCTTCTCTTTCCCTCTTCCTAGAGGGCTACAGTACTACTGGATTAGAACCCACCTTTATAACTTCATTTAATCTTAATGATCTCCTGAAGTTCCTATATTCACGTGTAGTCACACTGGGGAGTCAAGGCTTCAACACGAGAATTTGGGTGGAGACGAAATTCAGTCATAGCAATGTTAAATGTTACAATACCGATCTGCCAGTCTTGGGCAGTGTGTTCTAAAGCTTCCTTTCAGTCCCTGTTGACTCTACTTGTGCTGACTTGTCTTCCTGTCGGTTTGTAAAATACTCTTTGTGAGCTCATGGCTTAATCTTAATCTCTGTGAGTCCTGTGGGATGAAACTGGGGAGCTCTTCCTCACAGGGTTTACTTTTGATGCTTCTTATGCTGGAAGTCAGAGAGAACCCCAATCTATAATCCCTTTTGACTCCTCACAGCAATCACAGGGGATTGTGTGTGCGTGTGTGTGGTGGCCTTACGCATGCTAGGCAAGCACTCTACCATTTGAGCTTCACCCCTAACCCAGTATTTGTCTCTAAGCAAGAGCTGCAGGCAGTTCCATAGCTAGTATCTCCACAACAGGGTCAACAGCACAGGAATGTAGCCACCAGCAATCCTGCCAGGCTGGCTCCCCAGCACTTTGGCCCCACCTTACCTCCTGAGTTCCCAGTACTGAGGTCTCAGGATACCTAGTCAGTTCCACACTGGAAGCACTAAGTATCCAGACAGTGCTTTATTATATTTTATCCGGAATGCAGTAAGCCGGGGGTGTGAGAGGGGAATGTAGTGTTCTAGACTGATGGAAAGACCTACACATACTTTCCAATATGAAGTCGGTATGGCTCCATTTCTGGTCCATCCAGCTGGGACTGAGGGCCTGGATAGTACATGGAAGACCAGGCTCAGTGGCTGCTCACGGCCAGTTCCAAGGTTCCCCAAGAACTATGTGTCAGTCCCTGGGGTGTGTGACCAGTATCCTCTCCCAATGGACAGGCCGTCCAGGGCACGGGAGGCCATTAAAAACATGGAGGTGTCCCAGCTGTGGTCGGTGCTCTACTTCTTCATGCTGCTGCTGCTGGGGATGGGGAGCATGCTGGGGAACACGGCAGCCATCCTCACCCCTCTGACTGACAGCAAGGTCATTTCCAGCCACCTGCCCAAGGAGGCCATCTCAGGTCAGTGGGAGAGCCAGTAGAGGAGCTTTGTTTGGGGAGGGCTGGGATGTGAGGGGCGAGCAAAGGCCAAGTGTCCTCACGGGCACCCTGCCCTTCTCAGGGTGGCTCCAGAAGGCAGAAGCAACCTCACTGCAGTCCTGCCACAGTGCTGCTTGCAATCAGATGATGGTCATGTGATTTGTCCTCTGCATTTCTTCTCAACATCTAGGAAGGGCAGGAGCCACTGAAACATAATGTCAACCATCCTCAATGTGACATTTAATGATGTAAAGGCTAGGAAATAGCCTAGTTTAGTTCTGGTTAATTGAAGTATAAGAATTGCAAAGTACGTTCTTTTTTTTTTTTTTTGGCGGTACTGGGATTTGAACTCTGGGTCCTGCACTTACAAGGCAACTGTCTGCCACTTGAGCTATCCTTTTTGCTTTAGTTTGTCTTTTAGGTAGGGACTCACCATTTTAACTAGAGCTGGCCTCAGACTGCAATATTCCTACTGCTGCCTCCCCCTATGTGAGATTGCAGGTGTTTGCCAGTAGGCCTGACTTATTGGTTGAGATGGAATCTCCCTAATTTTTTGCCAGGGGCTAGTTGCAAGTCACTTATCTCTGCCTCCCAAGTAGCTGGAATTACAGGCATGATCCACTTGCCAGACCTTAAAGTATACATTCTCCAGGATACTGCAATGAATTTTACATTTGTATCCTCCTAAATCAGTTCCACCTAGATTAAGACCATTCTCCACACTCCAGAGAGCTCCTTTACACCCTTTCCAGGTAATAAACACTCTAAGGCCATCACTTTTCTGACTCCTAATGCTTTATTTTTTTTTGCACTGTTCTTGAGCTTCGTATCAATGAAATTTTACAAGACACATTCTGGGTTTGTTTTCTTCACTAATATCTGTCTGTAAGCTCCAACATGCTCTTGCAAGCAACAGAAAGAACCAGAGAACTTTATGGAAGTCTGATGTGACCCCCCATTTCACATTCAAGCCACTCCCCTAATCACATCCCATGATCTCTGGGGCAAGGTGCTAGGATTAAGAGCATCCCCAGACCAACTGTTTGGGTGAGATTCCACAATGAGCTCATGTTTACTTCCTCCTTTGAACCTAACGTTACCCCACCCCCAGGGCAGCTCTTCCAACCCATATGGATGAACCAGTTGGCCAAAGTCCCACTAGGAGCTTTTGCTCCTGCTGCCAATAGAAAGTGGGACCAGTGGGCTGAGTGATTCAGGCAGCTGAGCGGTGGTCTTGTGCCCAGGTCTGGTGTGCCTCATCAACTGCACCATCGGCATGGTGTTCACCTTGGAGACCGGGAGCTACTGGTTTGATGTATTCAACGACTACGCAGCCACGCTGTCCCTGCTGTTCATCGTCCTGGTGGAGGCAATTGCCGTGTGTTACGTGTATGGGCTGAAGAGGTAAGGAGGCCTCTGCCCCTGCCCCCTGTATGGAGAAAATGCAGCTGCCAGCCACACTCCACAAGATAATCACCCCCTCAATGTGCATTCTGAGTCTTTTCTTTTTTTGGAGGTACTGGTGTTTGAACTCAGGGTCTCATGCTTGCTAGGCAGGAGCTCTACTACTTGAGCCAAATCCCCACCCAACATTCCACAACATGAACTTGTTTGAGGAATTTGTTCCTTGCCCTCAGGTCTCAGCTAATTATCTCCCACTGCCTCAGTTTGCCTTCAACCAATAGCTCCTTTGTCTATTTCTCAGGTTTTCCCTTTGCATCATGGGATGCTTCCTGTTAACCCTACTAGACCCCACAGATTAGTGGACAGGGACTCATGCCTCCAGGTATTAAATGCTCTGATCATCAGTCAACATCAGTATTTTTCAAGAATCACGATCAAACTCCAGTTGAGAAATTTTGCCCTAGAAAATGTGGGAAATTGAAAATGCGGTCAGTTCTCAATGTGGTGCACAGGGCAGCACTGGGATGCTGTCATTCTCTCTTGGGGGTAGAATGTGAGTTGGGCCAGAACCATCATCCAGAGAAGCATTCAAGTTTAAGCATGCATCATACTCCATGGAGATTGGTGTAATGGGGATCACAGTCCCACTCCCCATCAGAGGTATGATTAAGGAGGTCTGGGCAGAGAGCTGTCCAGAAATGATTCACATTTCTAGAAGGTTCTCAGGTAGTTTGGGGACCACACTTGGAACATCAGTGATCTATGCCTTTTCTTTCACTGAGGTCTCTTGGGACTTCTGGCCACTTAGTCCTGCTCAATCAGGTCACGCCAGGTAACATGACAGGGGGTTCTGAGGCACACTGATTGCTGTACTGCTGCTTTGGGGTGGGGAGAGGGATCAGTTCTGACACTCTAGCAGGCAACCAGTCCCTTGGAAGCATTTCTGTCTCTAAAAGGGACAAGGTCATGCCATAGTGAGGGATCTCCAATGCTCAGTTTATTTTAGGATGTAAGTTGGAGTCTAGTGGGTATCCTTCTTCTAGGACTCAGAGCCTGAAAGTGCTTGTGAACCTCTCAAAGGGGGCTGTAACTCACAGCATTCCCTAACCCTATTTGGGGTTTTATCCTCCCCTCTTCTACCTTTCTTTCCACAGCTTAAAGACCCTAGTGTTAGGGTGACCAACTTCCCCAATTACCCCATGCCAAGGGACTTTCCTAAGTGTTTGTTTTCCTGAAACCAGAAGTCTCCAGTAAGAGAAACAAACTGGTCACCTAACAAATATAGTTCAATGAGAGAAAGTGCTGATGCTCTGAGAAGGTTGGGCCCACTCGACTTCACTGGAGAGGGGCATGGTGGGAAGTGACGGGAGACAGAAACAAAAGGACCCATAAAGGTTCTGGAAGCAGCTTGTGTCAGGGAGTGGCCAGAAGAGGGTCCTTCTGCTCACTCAGGGGACAACACTATCTAGTGCCCGAGTGACATCATCAGCAGCCTCTTACTGCAGCCAACTCTGCCCACCTTTCTCTGTCCAGGAATGGGTGGGCCTGGTGTTGACAGGAACAAGAGGACCCCAACACATTCTGACCTGTGTCACCTGGACAGTAAAGGTGTACACATTGCACACAGGAGTCTATGTGGCCTGAGGTCTTGAATCTGGCTTGGTCAGCATTAGCAAGGAGCAGCTGATGCTCTGCACAGCCACACAGGACATGTATGACTCGTGCTGCAGCTGCTAGCAGTTGACACCTTGCCCAATCCAAATGCCTCCTGCCAAGGCTCCTACTCCTACTGTGAAAACAATGTTAAAGGCCCTGGCCTGAGGGCAAGCAGCTCTAGAGCAAGACCCATCACAACCCAGGCCTCATCACCTCCCCTGGGAAATGGGGAGGTTGCCTGGGTCAGCCTAACCCCAGGTACCAACCCAGGAGGAAATGGATGCTATTGTGCTGTTGCTAAGTTTAGGGAAGAGAGTCAGTCAAAGAAAACAAGGAAAAGGGCCAGTACGCAATGGCTCTCTAGGGGAGGAGTCTGAAAGCCTTGCTCTGGTTCCTCGAGGCCAGGGTCCGAGACCTTTAAGGTCAGGTTGGGCTCCCCCTCTGCCAAGACCTGCTGTTTCTAGACACAAAGGGAGTGGGCTCTGGGGGCATTTCTAACAGGCAGTAAAGTCACTGATGGACAGGAAGCAGGGAGGGAGAAAATCCACCGGAAGAGCCCCGTCTGGAGAACTGAATGAACAGCTGTCCCTCTACATGGTCTGTTCTTACTGTCCCTAGGAGCTGACCTAAGGTCCACACCAGCAGCCTTCTTCTTAAGGACAGTACCAGGAAGATGTCTCTGTAACCCCTTCTTGGCAGGGTGGGTTGACACTCTTCTTGGGGAACCTCAGCCCTTCCCCTCCCTATTCTACCCTAACAAACCCACCCACGAAGGGATCAGAGAGGGCTTCAGGGTGGTGTTCAGGCATCAGTGGTGCCCAAAACAGAATTTCCTAAGTTAAGAAGGTATGCAAAACTGGACCCCCCCTTGCCTCCAGAAACATGAATAATCCTGACTTTCTCCTGCCATGGTCCAAATAGATTTGAAGGTGACCTTCAGGCCATGACTGGCCGCACCCTCAACTGGTACTGGAAGGCCATGTGGGCCTGTGTGAGTCCACTGCTTATCATCGGCCTCTTTGTCTTCTACCTGAGCAACTACATCGTCACGGGAACCCTGCAGTACCAAGCATGGGATACCTCCCAGGTATCTGACGTTTCCAGACTCACTCAGAGCGTGGGCTTGAGTCCTCTGACACAAGGGACTGTTGCTGTGGTGTGGGGAAATGCTCAGCCAGGCCAGCCATGCTGGGAAGTGAGGTTTTAAACATGGCAGTGACAGGACTGGGGCCAGGCATAGTGGCTCACTTCTATAGTCCCAGCTATTCCAAAGGTGGAGACTGGGACAATTGCAGTTTGAGGCCAGCTAGGGCAAAAAGTTCATGAGACCCCATCTGAACCACTAGGTGGTTATGGTGGCACACATGTGTCATCCCAGTTATGTGATAAGCATAAACTGAAGAATCATTGTCTAGGCCAGTTGGGGCATAAATGTGAGACCCTATCCCCAAAATAACTGAAGCAAAAAAGGCTGGGGATATGGCTCAAGTGATAGAGTGCCTGCCTTGCAAGTGTAAGGCTCTGAATTCAAACCCTAGTACAGCAAAAACAAACAAACCCCAAACAAACAAGAAAGCTGAGTCAGGACAGTAGCACTAGGCTGTGAGGTTTTAAACATGTCACAGTAACAAGACAGGAAGAGTCCCCTCCAGAGTTTTCCAGTGAACTTATCCCTGGACACTGAGCAGTACTGGTTCCCTGCAGGAGCACTGGTTCTTGTTCCCTGGGCAAGACCCCTCTTCAGCCACAGGTTTGTGGAGTACCACATGGGACAGCCTGATACAGAACATTTCCACTACCACAGAAAGTTCTGGTATGGACAAAGGATGGCCCTGCACTCAGATGCCTCAGACTGAAGGGCTGAGTCCTAGGCAGTGCTTTCAAAAGAATCAGTGGGATAGTTTTATCTCCTGATGCTGTTTCTCTCTGTAGGGACAGCTGGTGACCAAGGATTACCCCACATATGCACTAGCTGTCATTGGATTGCTCCCGGCCTCCTCTACCATGTGCATCCCCCTCGTGGCCCTGGGGACTTTCATCATGCACCGCCTCAAGAAGTGAGTCAAGCTGTCTTTGAGATGTAAGAAGTGGATCTCCTAGAAACCAAAGTCACCCATTCCCTGTTTCACAACTACTGCCTACAGATGGAAGCTTCTCAGATGCTTTTGAAAGCCAGAAGTACTTTGCCTGTCAGCTTCCCAAATCTATAAAGAAAACTTAGTTAAAATAAACTATTTAAGCTGATAAAATCTTACCTTTGGCCACAAATACTTTAGCCTTTTACTATCCTTACTCCATAATTTAATTTTCTTGCTACAATTTACATTGTTTTCTAGCACCTACTCCTTCAACTCACAGTGATGTAATACCACAGATGAAAACATCTCACTATGACTTAAGTTTTATTCTGATTTCTGCAAACTTCATGAGGAGCAAGACATTTCTCAATAATCCTCGAGCCAATAATAAGTCCTTCTAGGACTTATTATTGTGCTAGGGGCTGCACAATAGTGGTCATTGTGGCATTTGTCCACCAAACCTCCATAGGCTGGCAAGAAAAGAGACATTTCATCCCATACACTTCACAGTAACCATGGCAGTATGGCCAATGGTGGACTCTGTAAAGTTTCTATTTATGCTGGAAACATATACACCTGTGACTCAGCTCTAAGACACCAGGTGAAGAAATGTGTGGTTCGTATCAACTGTCACTGTAAATAAAACCCTAAGTAAGCACACTTACTGTGGGGATGTTCCTGGCTTCCTGGTTCCAGGCTCCGGACTGTCGACACAGACTTTCCCTGGTTACAATGAGCACACAAGCTAATCTTGAAAACATAAAGAGGGGGAGAATCCATCCAGACTTTTTGTCTGTTGCCCTTTTCCACATTTACCCTCATGCAGCCAGTGCATGAAGTCTTCCACTGAGGGTCAAGTTCTAAAGAGGGAGGGAAGGAGGAAGGGAGGGAAGGGAAGGGAGGAGGGCAGGAAGGGAAGGAGGGAGGGAGAGAAAGAGGGAGGGAAAGATAAACTATTTCTGGTATGCTGGATTTTGAACACAATAGGAACTGTTCTGGTTTGCTGCAGATTGCTTGCCACCTGCTTGTGTGCATCCCGGGCAATCTCTCATCTCTGGGCGCTTCTCTTCTGCTTGAGTGGGACAAAATCACAGCAGAGCTGAATGTGACCTTGGAACCTGAGGGGAGAGGTGAGTTATTTTAAATGGAAAAATTAACCGATAGCTGTCCCCATTTCATAAATAGAAATGATTTTTCTTTCTACCTCTGTCAGGTGAAGGAAATGAGATTTCCATATCCCTTTGCAAGGCAAAAAAATGCATCTGCAAATAGGTCTTTTGGTGGGGGGAACATGGGGGTACCAGAGTTTGAACTCAGAATCTCACAGGTGTGAGAGAGTGTGTAGAGTGCTAGACAGACACTCTACCACTTAAGCCATACCTCCAGCCCTTTTTTGCTTTGCTTTTCAGATAGGGTCGAGTTTTCAACCACGACCCTTCTACCTATTGCCTTGAGTGTAGGTGGGATCACAGGTGTGAGCCATCTGCCCAGCCCCCAGTAGGGAATTATTAACCAGAATTTCCTGACCTTTTTTATGTGAGTCACATTTTTTAAATTACTAAACTCGCATATTGCAGTCTGTTCCTTGGGCGGGGGGTAAGGGACAGTGGTAAACATGACACAGTCGCTGGTGTTTACTGCACTTACATTCTGGGAGTTTACTGCACTTACATTCTGGGAGGCGGTGACAGATTAACAAGTGACTGTATAGGCAGCAATGTTTTGTTTTGCTTTTGGATTTGTGAGATAGGCTCTTGCTATGTAGCCCAGGATGACCAGAACCTCACAATCCTCCTTCCTCAGCCTTCAGCGTGCTGGAATTCTCAAGCTGGGCTTGACAACGTCCACATCTAAGGAGGAACTAAATGGACCAATGTGGTGACCTCCTAGAACAGTGCTCTAATCAAGAGGTCAAGGAAGAGCTTCGCAAACTGAAATGTGAAGCATGAACTAGCCAGTGGAAATCCTAAAAGATCCATCTAGGCAGCAACAACAGCACATGCAAAGACCTGATGCAGAAAAGTTTAGGAAAGAGGCCTGTGACTGGAATGGGAAAGAACAAAGGGAGGAAAGCATGCAGGAGTGGGCAGAAGCCAGATCACATAAGGCCTGTGAGCCACAGCTAGGAGCCTGGGATTTTTTTGTTGTTGTTGTTGGAACAAGGGTTTGAATTCAGGGTCTTGCACTTACTTAGCCAGCAGTCTATTGCTTGAGCCTTGACCTTGTGTGCCTGGACCATTTTCAAAGAGCCACGGAAGTCTCCTAAGCGTTCAGGGTGGGGTCCTGGAACCACCTGATTTGACACTAAACGATGACTACTGCTGAAGATGGACTGAGAAGGAAAACGTAAAAATCACTCCACGGGCTATTGTAGTAAATCCACAGAGGTTAATAGTCCATGGATTTTAAAATGAACATGGAAAGAAATAGGCAGGTCTGTAATATTTTGTCAAGACTTAAAGATGGGTTGGATGCCTGGTTGTGGAGAGGAAAGACATGCTCGAATCACTGGGTGGATGCTGTTGGTATTTTCTGAGATGGGGAAAACAGGATAGAACTACGCTGCAGAGTTAAGTCAAGAGCTCTGTTTTAACAGGTTATGTTTGAGACATCTGGGAATCAGAGGAAACATCTGGTAGGCTGTTGAACAAAATAACTGAACTCTGGGAGTCGCCAGCATAGATGTTATTTAAAACCACTGGTCCAAGAGAGATCATCCAGGGTAGTGTGTATGTGAAGAAAAGAGGGCTCTGGACCAAAGCCTTTAAAATATTCCAAAATATTTTCAGGCATCGCTTCAGTCTTTTCCACTCCTCCCCTAGAGAGATGGGGTCTGAGTTCCCTCCCCCTGAATCCAGGTGGGCTTAGAACTACTTCAACAAAAAGAATATGATGGGAAGGACAACATCTGACATCCAAAGTGTGATCATAAAATGCCAGGCAGCTTCCACATGGGTTGATGGAAGTGTGTGTTTGGGGAGTCCTGAGCTGTCATATATGAAGTCCCACTACCATGCTGCAGAGGTCATGTGCATAGGTGCTCCAGCTCACAGGACCAGCTATGCCCATCTTCCAGTCATCCTTGGTAGGGTACCTGACCAGTGTGGACCAGAAACAGCAATTCTACCTGCCAGCTGAATACATTGAGTGACCTCCATCAGTGCCACTTGAAACACAGTAATTGCCCAGCCAAGCTAAGTCCAAATTACTGACTCACAACATTGTGGGATTGTGTTCTAGAAACAGATAAGAGGGATGAGTAGAAAGGAGAAATCAAAAGGTATAGATTAATGAATAAAGGTGGACAAAACCTAGAATATGTGGTTCTAGATCATGTGTATGGTTTTGGTTAAGTGTGCCCCAAAGGTTCACAGGTAAAGGCTTGGTACCAAGGTGATGGTATTGGGACTTTTAAAAGGTAGGCCTCGTGGGAGATCTTTAGGTCACTGGGGGTGTGCCCTCAAAGGATATTGGGGGATCCTGGTCTCTTGCTGCCTCTTTCTGCTTCCTGGCCTGAAATGGGACCTGTTCTCCAATATTGTTGTGGCATTCCACAACATTGCCATCGGCTGCCTCTTCAGAACCAAGACAATGCAGATGCCATGCCTTTGAGCCTCCAAAACCGTGAGCTACATAAACCTTTTCTCACAGTTCTCCTAAATATGCCTCACTAACTGAACTTTCTACTTTTCCTAAGATCAGAGCCTATATTTAACCCCACCTCTACCATGACATAAAATGTAACACAATACTTTAATGGATGGCATTTTAAGCTTTGTACAAGTAGAATAATAAAGGAGCAATAGGCACACATTAGTGAAAATGGTGAACAGAGAAAGATGAACAAACACCTGGATCTTTGGCTAAAACAAGCCAAATGAAAAACAAATTCATGGTCAGAATAATCTATAAAGGGAAAAGTTCAGAACAAACATTATCTAACTCATTCATCTGCGACCAGGGCATTCATTGTAAGTTAAACATGTCACAGAACATTAATCGTTGGTCCTCCCAGTGAAACCACCATGGAGCCAAATGTCTAGCCTGGCTAGGGGCAGGGAAGGATGAGAGCTGGACATTAAGGAAGACTAGCTGGGATTCTTCAGCACGAGTTGAGCGCACGTGTCTGTGTACACACGGCAAGTTCAACTGTCAACTGAGGTTCAACTAGATTACAGCACAGGTTTCTCACTCACCCCTGGCAGCCCTGCCTAAAATGAATCCCACAGAATATGGGTCTTATGCACTGCTCTATGAATAAAGATTTCCACAGGCTAAAAAGTTTGATGCTGCTGCACAGCACAGAACTCCTCTAGAGTCATTTTTCAAGCTCTGAGAGTTCTACAGCTTAGACAACACTTTAACTTTGTTTAATCCAGTGTTTCCAAACAGTTCTCACCACAGATTCCTGAACTGTAAGAACATATAAGAGAATTGACACTACCCCAAAACACACTTAGGAAAATGCATTCCGTCAAGGTGTTTGCCTAACAGACAAAGGAGCTAGATGGTGCAGAGCTCATGGCAGGATGAGATTTCTACAAGATGAGACTGCATGAGGAACAGCTCTTGGCAGTGAAATCACACAGCCCAATAGAACACAACAGAAAGCCCAAAACACCCTCAAATAAACCAAAACTTGGAAGGAAGGGATCAACATTTTTAGTAACAAGTAGCCTTATGGAGACAAAGAACACTGGCTCATACACTGATCATATTATCTCATACTGCTCCTCTCTAAGGCAGCAGTACGTTCCCTAGACCCAGGAACATCTAATTTGGCCATGTGACTGGCTTTAACCAATGAAATGTAAACAGAAGACTGCTACTTTTGAGTGACAATCAGGATGCTAACACTAATATCAATGCTGAGTCAGGACAACTGAAAATGTCCCAAAGAGAAGCTGTTCCATCACTCTGGGACCCAAAATGTAGCAATGGAGCAGAGCTACAGTCATCTCTTCAGATACACAGCAGGAAGGAAAAACAAACCTTTAACAAAAGGAGGAAGGGAGAGGGGGTTGGCGGAGTGGCTCAAGCAGTAGAGCGCTCATCAAGCAAGCATGAGACCTTGAATTTAAACCGCCCCCCCCCAAATTCATTGAGATCTGGGGATCACTTGATATCATAGTAGTGTGGCCAATCTTGACTGATACACACCCGTTTCCTTACTCCACAGCTGAAGTCAACTGCGGATAGAATAAAAGACCTAAAAGTGAGAACTGAAAAGTTTTCCTTTCAGGGAGAGCAACATGGTCTTATACGGGCACAAAATGTGCTTTGATAACCATGCAGTTGATGCATTCATCAAGTCACCCACAAGCAAATGAGGAGGCAAACTACAAACAGGGAGATGTTGTGGTACAAACAGTCAAAAAATACTCTCCAGAATACAAAGAACTTTAACAAACTGGCAAGAATAATCTAACGAAAACAGGCAAGACCTCAACAGGCCCATAATATGAAACAGAGAAAATCAAAAACAAAACTATGAAAAGATCATTCTGATCTCATTAGTGATAAGAGAAATGCCAGAATGGCATACTGTTTCATACCTGCTGGATTAAAAAATAGGAGTCTGATGATGTAGAGTCTATGACAATGTGGTACTATGTGATAACACGGAACTGGTAGGAATATACATGACACAAACAATTTGTAAAATAATTTCATGTTATCTGGTGTAGTACTGCTGGGCATATACCATGGAGAAACACCTTCCCACTGAGCCAGGAGATGGGCATAATGTCCACAGCAGTACTGAGTGAGAGCACAAACCACCAGAAACAATTAAAATGTCCACCTACATTACACTAGACAAAAAGTTAATTGTGACAGTAATCAGTAAATCCCACTGAATATACACATTGTAACATTCATTCCATGCAAACAAGAGTTAACAGGAATGGACAACAGGGGTAACCATCAACACTGATGAGCCTTAGAAACAAAGCTGAGTGCAAAGGTAAGCTGTAGGAAAATAAATACAGAATATAATTTTTATAAACTTCAAAAATGAAGTACTTAAAAAACAAGTGAAACTAAACAATACACTTACCTAGGGAAACTTACTATGTACTAAACTAGGAAAAAATGCAGGTGAAAGGGAAGAAAATGAAAGCTACTGGGACTCTCTCTGGGGAAGACAGCCAGGAGTAAGGGCAACAGCAGCATGGCGCGCCAGCTGTGTGTCCCACCTCTCTCCTCTAACCCTCACTCCTCTTGCTCTCCCTTTTGGGCTGATCTGTTACAAAGCATTAGATAATCAGTGTAAACCCCAGCTCTTCCACCTGATTCCCTCCAATACTAGCTCTGTACCTCATCTTGCAATTCTTCTCTCCTTACTGATGCTGGTAGGCAGACTTCCATAATGTCCTCTAATGATCTCCATCTTCTATTACTCATGCCTTCATGTACTCTCCTCCCCTTGAGTAAGCTGGATCCAGTAGAGCACAGAATACAGTTCAAGTGATGGAAGGACACTTCCAAAGTTAAGTTATAAGACTGTGACTTCCATCTTGCTTGCAGATTCTTGTTGGCTTGGAAGAACCACATTGCTCTGTGTTGGAGAAGACCAGGTGGCAGTGAACTGAGGGTGGTTTCTAGCTAAGAGCCAGCAAGGCAGATTAGTTCAGCCTGTGAGGAACTGACATGAGGAACTTGCCAACAGAGTGATCTTGAAAGTGAATCCTGCTCTAGTTGAATCTTGAGGGCCCTGTGGGAGAACCTGAAGCAGGAAAGAGAGCTAAAGCACATCTGTATTCCTGATGTACAGTGTCAGAGAGGTAATAAATAGAAACAAATACGGGTACTTTGTTATAGTGATGGGTAACTAACACCCTGTGGCCATTCAGAGCTGGCACATCTTCTCTTGCAGCCCTGTAGTCCCTGATTAGAAAAGCACAGTGAACTCACAAGGCACTCAAATTAACCACATCTGCTGAAATTATTCCACTACAAAATGGAAAAACAAATTAAGAGGATGGTTATAGTGAATTTTTCTGAAGATAAAAAATCACTGAAACATGCTTATAGTACACACATGTGTGTGTGTGTGTGCGTGTTTGTGAGTGAGATGCCATTTTTAAGGAATTTCATCTCATTTCCCACATGAGTGAGGATCCCCTAAAGCATCAAGATTTACTTCAGTATTTCCCTCATGCTCATTGATACTTTCCTGTGACCTGAAGAGAATATTTTCTAGTAAGTAGTATTTCCCCACTTTTATCATTTTAAATGAGGCATATCATTTTGAAACAAATTATAATTTGAAAGTAGTTTTTTTTTTTATGGACATTATACTTTACTAAATATTTCCCCAGTCTGTTAAAAAGTAACAATAAATATATAAAAATTTCTTAAGTGATTATAACTGGAAGACAGGATTTCAGAAGCTACTGCTTTTCTTATTTACTTATATTGTATGATTTTCCTATAGTTATCATACACTGTTTTATGATAAAAAAGAAAAAACATGACCTTTCAAAAAAAAGAAAGTATAGGAATGACACCAACAGTAATTAGAAAAGAATATTACATTTTATTTTCACTTATGGACTTACAGTACATGAATTAAGAAATAAAATCATTGCAGGGTTCTGAAATATTGATAGCTTACGACCCAACATACCAATATCATTAATCCATTCTCCCTGAAAGCAGCCACACTAGCGGTTCAGATTTGGTCTTTGTTGTAGTTGTTGACATTAAGTTCTTACTATGAAATGCTCAGAAGCATTTGAATAATATATTACAGTAGGCATGAGCTAAGTCTCAATATTCCATCTTTGGAACAAATTACACCAATTTATATATTAAGAATAGGCGGCACTATTAATTTACCCTACTGTGAGTTTTTAATGACTGATTTTAAACAACACAGGGTTACCCCCAGCTATTATTTCCTTTAGAATTTCTAAAAGCAACAACTCTTGTTAGTATTTATAAAAGATAATGTTGAAAAAAGGTAATGTTAAAATAAAGGCGCTTTTGAAATATTTAAGGACAACATAAGGTACTGCCATTGGAAAAAAAACTGTACATATTTTCAAGCAAAACACTGAAATACTGTAGCAGTGTTTAACCGAATTACTTTAAAATAATGGTAATTGTACTACCTTACATACTGCTCTAATATCTAAACCTCATAATTACAATTTGCATATACAATCTGACAGTTAAAATTACGAACAGCCTGTGAAACACTATTTTTCAGGTTTGTTTTTGCACATAAAGTTGAAGTTGGTCCTTGATTTGGAGAACTATAACTACCTGGAAGCATTAAATTTCAGACACACTTATTGGTAGCCAACAAAAACCTCGACAGAGTGAAAAGCAATAGTACCATGCATGAAAAAGCAGCTGTTGTCCCAAGTGCAGTATCAAATTTAGCATAAATCCTCTCAGAGTGCTGTATGACCCAAAGAGTAGTCCCCAAAGAAACCAAAAGGAAGCAGCTGGCCAGCCCACAGCATTTCCACAATGGAGCAGTCCTTAAAAAGAGAAGGCTTTGGACCTTTAGCATAAGAGACAGACTTTACATTCTTTGATTTCATTTACACCTTTTTAAAAAAGATAAAGTATACCTGAACTCTTTCATCACACTTAAACTACTGGCGCACCGCAGCAGTTCAAGTTGACTGAGGTCAAGAGGCAGCCACCAGAAACTTGAAAGAAGCCCAGACCCCATTCTCCTCTTCCCTCCCATGAAGTCACAGACCATCTCTTCAAACTACTTGATGTCTGTAGGAGACTTACATTTTATAAACATTGTAGAGTTAGCTTATCACTAAATTTTTAAGAAAAGTCCCAAGATGTGTGGAAAAGTATGCTTGCTAACAGTGACTGCTACAATGACAATAATGAAACAGAGCCAGAAAAATAATTTTACTATTTTAAATAATGAAAGAGGCTGAACTTTTAAAATATATTAATTATCTGTTAATAGCTGATTAGCTTGACAGTGAACATATCCTTTTGTTCTGTGAGCTGAATTCAGGTTACATTTCAATTATAGTAGAGCTGCAAATTATAAATACAACCATCTCAATAGTAAAGAGATCATCAAGGCAGTAATATCAGATCAATTCTAAGACTCCACCCAGCACAGAGCACATGAGGTGCTTTGTGATAAAGGCTAAAAAGACCCGGGCTGATGTGGAAAGCAGATCAGTAAAGACTCCAGTTCTGCATCATGGACTCTTCCAAGCCAAGCCGCTTTCCACAAACACAAATTCAGTCTATCTTTTCTTTTTGGACCAATCTAGGAGCATCAACAAAATCTTTCCCATTGTAAAGAATAATAAAAAATGTTCCAATGCTTGCTACTCCCCAGAAGAGCACATAGGCCAGTGTTTCTGTCCAAGTGTCACCTGCAAAGAGTTGATAAATAAATGTCATTTGTTGATTCCAGATCCAGTTGTCAGCTGCATAGCACATCTTTACATTAAAGTTTACTAGCATATCCACAGGAAAAATTTAAGAACCTCCTTATTAAGGCTTAAATCAGTCTCCAACCCTGCATGACTTTATAAAGCATCAACTACTGAACCCAAAGAATCTGTCCTTCTAGCAAGTTCCCAGATAGTGCTGATGCCTGATCCAGAGGCCACATTTTGAGAACCACTCAACTAAACTCTTTTACATTATATCATACAAATAATAATTATCACTTAAGATTACAAGCTTAATATTAGAAGAAACAATTGCCAATAGTTTAATTCATAGTTCTACCTAGAACAGATAAAAGCTATCAAAAAACTAACACAAAAACATACTTTGAAAATATACATGTTTCAGTAAAGTTGGCTAATAAAACAAAACTCAGAAATATATTTTAATAACATTTAGCACAACTCTGCTGACTTGAGTTCATGAAGGTTAGCAGCAGACAGAGAGCAAAGACCTATTTTGTTATGTCTTGAACAGTCAAGCCTATCGTCACTTCTCTCCTACCTACTGGCCTACCTGCAGACAGAGAAAATGTATGTAATGGCCAACAACCAGTGAGTGAGCACAAGAGAAGCCAGGCTCTCCTATGTTGGTGTGGTGCACACCTATAATTCCAGCCACTTGAGAACTGAAGGCAGAAAGATTGCAAGTATGAGGCCAGCCCAGGCAAAGTTAGCAAGACCCTATCTCAAAAACAAAATATGAACAAGAAAAGAGGGGTGGGAATTATGATTCAGTGGAAGAGTACCCGCCTAGAATGTGCAAGGTCCTGGGTTCAAACTCCGGTAATAAACAAACAAACAAGCAAACAAATGGGGGAGAGAGAGAGAGAGCAAGAGGGAAAGACAGACAGCAACCTGACTCTTCCTATCCAAACAAGTTGTCAGAGGTCATGCTACATTTCTTTTTTATCTCCTTGAAAGCCACACCTGGAGCTAGAAATCAGATGCCACTGTACCCAAAAGTTCATTATCTTAACTGACATGTCACCATCCACAGTACCCAACCTCTTTTTATTCAATATCCCCCAAATTTGCATAATTAGTAATTTTCACAGCTCTGAGTTTTAAAATTTGTCTTCAATAAAAAAAGTCTGTTTTCCTTTTTATTTTTCTCCCTACTAGGAACTGAACTCAATGTGTTACACATACTAGGCAAGTGCTCTGCCACTGTGCTACTTCCCTAGCCCAAGAAAGGGTCACTGAATACTCTCCAAAGGAATCCTCCATTTCATTCAGACTGAACTTTTTTTTGGTGGTGCTGGGTTTGAACACAGAGCTTTGTACTTAGCCAGACTCTTAGTATTAACTTTTCTGCCCTTCTAGAGGGCAGAGATTAAGTAAATGTGGGTACAGAAAAACAAAATAAATAAAATTTAACAGTGGAGTGGCTTCAAGAAAATGGCATCCACTGGGCAGTGTTTTTAAGATTTAAGTCAGAAGATCTAGGGCATGAGGAAAACCAGCTGCTGGCCTGTGAGTAATCAGCAGATACTGGCTGACTCTGTCCTCTTCCTTCCTGACACAGAACTCACAGTCACACCACAGGCAATTCCTGTGGCTTCAACCTATTTTTACTATAAGTTAAGAAGGGTCACACAGAGTGGGAGAAAATATTTGCCAATTATACATCAGACAAAGGACTGAAAACCAGAATATACAGGGAACTTAAAAAACTAAATTCTCCCAAAACTAATGAACCAATAAAGAAATGGGCATGTGAACTAAACAGAACTTTCTCAAAAGAAGAAATTCAAATGGCCAGAAAACACATGAAAAAATGCTCACCATCTCTAGCAATAAAGGAAATGCAAATTAAAACCACACTAAGATTCCACCTCACCCCTGTTAGAATAGCCATCATCAGCAACACCACCAACAACAGGTGTTGGCGAGGATGCGGGGAAAAAGGAACCCTCTTACACTGTTGGTGGGAATGTAGACTAGTACAACCACTCTGGAAAAAAATTTGGAGGCTACTTAAAAAGCTGGACATCGATCTACCATTTGATCCAGCAATACCACTCTTGGGGATATACCCAAAAGACTGTTACTCCAGAGGCACCTGCACATCCATGTTTATTGCGGCACTATTCACAATAGCCAAGTTATGGAAACAGCCAAGATGCCCCAGCACTGACGAATGGATTAAGAAAATGTGGTATCTATACACAATGGAATTTTATGCAGCCATGAAGAAGAACGAAATGTTATCATTCGCTGGTAAATGGATGGAATTGGAGAACATCATTCTGAGTGAGGTTAGCCTGGCCCAAAAGACCAAAAATCGTATGTTCTCCCTCATATGTGGACATTAGATCAAGGGCAAACACAACAAGGGGATTGGACTATGAGCACATGATAAAAGCGAGAGCACACAAGGGAGGGGTGAGGATAGGTAAGACACCTAAAAAACTAGCTAGCATTTGTTGCCCTTAATGCAGAGAAACTAAAGCAGATACCTTAAAGCAACTGAGGCCAATAGGAAAAGGGGACCAGGAACTAGAGAAAAGGTTAGATCAAAAAGAATTAACCTAGAAGGTAACACCCACGCACAGGAAATCAATGTGAGTCAATGCCCTGTATAGCTATCCTTATCTCAACCAGCAAAAACCCTTGTTCCTTCCTATTATTGCTTATACTCTCTCTACAACAAAATTAGAAATAAGGGCAAAATAGTTTCTGCTGGGTATTGAGGTGGGGGAGAGGGAGGGGGCCGAGTGGGTGGTAAGGGAGGGGGTGGGGGCAGGGGGGAGAAATGAACCAAGCCTTGTATGCACATATGAATAATAAAAGAAAAATGAAAAAAAAGAAAAAAAAGTTAAGAAGGGTCAAAGAACATACAATTGAGACCACATGCAATCCATAAATACAAAAATATTTTATATATATGGTTCTTTCACAAAAAATCTGCTAACTAGAATAATAAACAGGATGGTTCCATCCCGTCACTCAACACATCAGCACTTATTAAAACAATGTGGTGATTGTCTACAGTGCTGAACACTGAAGAGAACAGAGGTGAACAGGCAGTGAACCTCTCCCTCAAGAAGCTGACGTCTTGTCGTGAGGCTGGTGGTGGTGGTGGAATGAGAGCCCCTAATTTAGCAAACATTTGAGGGCTTACTATATCCCAGTCACAGGAGACAAAACAACTAATAAGACACAGTCTTAGCCTCAAAAAGCTGCTGATTTGCGCACAAGCAAGTATGCAAATCATTACTACAGATAGAAACAAACCCCTGGGTATTCACAAGCTCAAAAAGGAAAGTGATAGAAGAGAGGTAGAGTTCTGTGGAAATCCAGAGAGGGGAAAATGGCTTCTATGTGGAGGAACAAAGGGACACTTTTTCAGAGGGAGAAATCTGAATGGTGCCCTGAGGATGGTGGAATTCAGAGAGGCAGACAAAATTTAGCCTCTTTCCCAAGGGATAAAGGATGAAGACTGGGGGAAAGGAAGGGGGGGAGGGGAGAGGGGGGAGAAATGGCCCAAACAATGTATGCACATATGAATAAATGAATAAAGAAAAAAAAAAGAAAGGATGAAGACTGGAAGGTGCCTCTTTCCCTAGTGTGCTTAAGATTAAACCTCACAGGTACAATACAACCTAGTCAGGCTCAAACCCCCCAAAACACAGAACATTTTACAATAGAGACAGTATTCCTCTCACTTTAAGCTTAAATGATTATTAATATAGGAAAAATAATAAGAACCTCGTCAGGTTCTTAGGCAAATTTATTCTTACCTTTTCTTAATCTTTTAAAATTTCATAATAAGCTATGTCTTTAATCCATAAATAAGTTATGTGCCCAATGATTAGTGGTTGGTTAAACATAAAGTGTGGCTTTTAAACATAAGGAATAGCTGGTTATGGTGGTGTATGCCTGTAATCCCACCAACTCTGGAGGGTGAGACAGGAGGATTTTGAGTTCAAGGCCAGAATTAGGGAAATCCAATCTCAAAAAACAAAATGCAAAAATAAAAAAGCTGGGGGCATGGCTCAAGTGGTACACTGCTTGCCTAGTATGTGCAAGTCCCTGCACTCAATCTGCATTACCACATAAAAAAAAGGTAAAGAACATGAGAAAAATATTCATACTACTCAGTGGAAAAAAAACCAAAACAGATTACAAAAATGTATAACATTCCACAAACTGATAAAGAATGAAACATCAAAATATTAAGAATGGTTGGCTCATCTCTGGAAGGCGGGATGACAGTATTTTCTTTTTTTTGTCTAACTGTATTTTCTATAATTATTATGCATTACTTTGGTAATAAGAAAAAAATGTAATCAAAATCATAAGTAAAAAAACAGTATGGAGGTGTGACTTAGTGGGAGAGCTCCTGCCTTAAATGCACAGTACCCTGGGTTTGATCCCTAGCAACACAAAAACAAACAAAATCAATTATCAAACTACTAGGCGTATTTTCTTTTTCATAAAACATCAAAATAACTAATCTCACCTACTCTATCCTCCTTAAATTTCATAGGTAAACATATGAAATAAGAGCAGACTTACCAGCCATAAGCAAACAGATAATGCACATTGAAAAGGCAACAACCATGATAATAGGCAACTGGAAAAGAAACAAAAAGAGACACCAGTTTAAGAACGATAGTCAGTGGTTGCAAAATCGGTCCTACATGCTTTGCTTGGGAAAAGAATAAAACTCTTCACAAAACTAATACATACAATATCTTATTTCGACAAGGAACATTATTCGGGGGATCAATCATAACTACCCAGGTCTTTCAGAATGGTTAAGTTATGAGACCTGACGAAGTGTGCCTCTGCTCTAAATCAAGGAAGTGCTAGGAGGAAGGAGGTCACCCAAATGAGAATCCAGGAGCCCAGGCATCCCTTTCATTCCAGGGTACTTTGCAAATAAGCATGAGACCCTAGAGACTCTTTGCAAAGTCTGGTGAACAGTGTAGACAATAAGAAGAGATGTTATCAAAAACACACTTTGCCTCCCATGTTACATATTTGTCTCCACCAATTCCCTTAGCATAACAGGACTGATGTTCCTGAAATGAGGAATCTTTCATATCCCCTTGTTTATTGTTCTCACACAAAAAGGATGTGCAAGAGTATCAGGAAACAATGCTCAAAGTTACTTTCCTCTGTGCACTGATCTCTTTGGAGAAACCTAAGTGTGTATACTCCATCTAGAACAGCATATAATGTTGTCAGTCAAGGGGAGATGATAACATCTGCTCCTTTGGACACAATACTTTTAACATTTTGAGAAATATAATGGTTTCTTACAGCCAGGAATTTCCAGTCCCTTGGAACACTTAAAGGACTATGTGACTCTAATTCATCCACTGAATAGTTCCCGAGAAATAAGTCTATGGAATCCTGGAACAGAAAGAAGGAAATTAACTCCCAAACTTCTAGATTACATTATTGAGGAACAACTCAATGACACAACCATTCAACAACCAAAGTACATCAAATACAAACTTACTTGTCTAAATCCATCAGAAAAGTTGTTCTTGTAATACCGTATTAGTGAGTTCAAGCCATCCATTATTAGTCCCAACTGAGTTCTCTTTCCAGTTCTGGTTAAAAGAGGATTGGTCTTAAATTCTAAACTTGCATCCTAAATTCTCACACTGTTTTATGGACAATAAAGTGTATGCTACAGACATAAGTGAATTATAAAGATGTTAAAAATTATCCCTGAAAATATAGAGACAATCACAAGGAAGTCACTAGTAGGTCTAAGAAATACGTACAGCTGTCACTCAGTATTCACGGGGGAGCCCTTCAAACCAAAGTTCATAGATGCTCAAGTCCCTTATAGAAAGTAGTACAGTATTCTATACAACCTACCTACAGCCTCTTGTATACTTTAACCAATCTCTAAATTATATATAATACCTGATACAATGTACATATTAGGCAAATAGTTGTTATATCATTTAGGGAATAATGACAAGGAAAAAGTTCATACAGTGTATCATAAAAGACCCAAATGAATTTGTAACAAATTCAAAATGTTCTAACTCCTTAGTATCCAGTGTGGTCCTTGACAGTACCACCAGCATTACCTGACAGCTTTTTAGAAGTCAGTTCTCAGGCTGTGCCCCAGGTCTGCAGAATCCAGACTGGTGTCAGGTGCACAGTAATATTTGATAAGCACTACAGAGCATCAGAATCCCCAAGGAAGGCAGCCATCTGTGCCTGACCCTCATCTCTCAGCACTCCTGACTTGACGAGCCCCAAGTGAGACCCCAGTGCTATTGTAGTTGCTGCTCCCTGAAAGCTGCCCACAGGACCCTAAAAGACACTGGGACTATAAACCACTGTGGAATACTACTTTAAAAGCGTGGCTTACCTGGTAAAGTCAGTCTTCAAGGCACCAGTTCCTGCATATTGTTTGGCACAAGCATTTGCATTGTCAGCCCAGGCTGTTAAAAACAAAAAAAAATCAAAAACAGTGATAACGATTAAAATGACACCCCAATAATCAATTTCAAATTTTGAGTGACTTTGTCTTCATAAAAGAAATTACCTACCATTTTTGTAAATCTTCTCAAATTCATCTTGTTCTTCAAGCTTCTGTCCCACATGCAAAACTCCTAGTCTCTAGAATAAGAACCACACCCATACTTATAGATTTCAGCAGACATGCTTTAGGAAGAAAAGGCAGACAAGCCCTGAAATTCTATCGCATGGTTCCCTGGCTGCTGGATGCACAGCAGAGGCGTGCCCCAGCTCCCCGGAGCCCTTTAGCATCCAGGGTAGACTGCGATGACTTTCCGGGGGATACTGTGCCCCACACTCCCTTGACCCCCAGGAACACAGGAACAGTAGCAGACTGTACTTAGGAGAACGAAAACTGTACCCACCTCTAACCTTACTCTTTCTGCCTTCCTCACTGTTCGCCATCTCAGGCTTCCTCATCCCACAACCTTACTCTCTACACCAGTACTTCTGAGACTCTGATGGGTGCTGCACACACACATAGACAGACATTTGTTTATAATCTCAAGGGGCTGCTGGGTTCCCCAATCCTCTCTATGGACTCGGGTCCACAGACCACAGATCAGGAAACCCCGCCTTGACCTTTGACTCAGGCCATTAACTCTCTCAGAACCACCATCTTCTTTGCTCACCTTAGACAGCACACCTCACTTTGTCTTCTTCAGGATGGGTCACTCCACCCTCAGACAATACAGAAACTACCCTCGGTGGCTTTTAGCTGGGTAAAAACTCTGCTCTTACTGGAGGGGGAAAAGCACCCTAGCTGGCAATAGTACTAGAGAGGCTTCTACTATATTTAATATGTGAAAGAATACAGAATGGTTAATCAATCATGGAACCAAACCATTTCTATTGAAAAATGTACTTGGAAAGATCCTTAACAGATGGATAAAGAGTAACAATACAAACCAGAGACTGTTCAAACAGAGAAATCACTCCTTTGGCACCTGTTATTTTAGGATTCAAGAATAATCCATTCTAAAGGAGGTAACTTATTTTCTAATTTCCTCCTGGATAACATGAAATTGTTAGAAGTAAAATTTAATGTTTATCAATTATCTAAGCAGGAAAACATCTGTTTCACAACAAATGCCAATGTCATTTAGAAATCTGGACTCTAGTTTTAATTGCAAATATAGACAGGAGACATTTATATCTATTCTTCTCACTTATCTCAAAGGTAAAGCAAAGTTATGCCAGAAACTTGGAACATGGAAGTTATTATCCCCAGCTAGAAATAAAAGAGATGCAAATTAAAACAATCTTTAAGTACTACTTAACAAAAAAGCAGGCGTGGTGGTGCAAACTTGTCATCCCACCTACACAGGAGGCATAAGTAGGAGGGCTACAGTCCAGGTTAGCCCAGGCAAAAAACCAGAGACCCTATGTGAAAAAAAAAAAAATAACTAAAAGCAAAAAGGACTAGGGGTATGGCTCAATGGCAGAGCACCTGCCTAGCAAATCTAATAAGATCCTGAATTCAAACTCCAGTACCAACAAAACAAACCCAGATGTTTTAAGTACAAGCATCTAACACAGCAATCATTCAATGAAATGAATTCACTGCTAATATCGACAAATATTGTTACGACCCTCTTAGAACATGATCCATTTATTGTCCTTAAATCAGTAATTAAACTTCTAGGAATAAACCCAAAGGAAATAATTTCAATAAAAACAGATACTGAGTTCAAATCCCAGTACACACACACACACACACACACACACAAATCCAAGAATGGAGCAACTTAAGTGGCATAGTAAACTATAGCTCAATACAGTCATTAAAAACTTTGATTACATAAACGTTGAAGGAAAATGGCAAAACTAAAAATTGTACGCATGTAAACTAACCATGGTTATGGAAGATGGTGGCAAGACACAAAAACAGGTTAGGTGGAGGTGATGTGAATAAATTTTGTTATTGGCTTTCAAAGGTGAAGGACCCTTATTTTTTTTGCTATATTGTTTTTCAATTAAAAAAAAAAAGAATTCGTACCTGAAGCTGGGCCTGAAGTGAACGTCGAGCTAACAAACTCTGGATCACGTTGGTCCTATCTAGACAATCCATACAATTACTGCGGAAGACACCTTCCTGGTTTGTCACCACTTTGCCAGAAGAGTCTACTAGAAAATAACTAAAACATATTTGTATAAACACTCTCATATCAAAAGAGCTCAAACCTACTAGTGACACACCTCTGTGAACATGGGCCTTATTTCAGTGACCTTATTAAAATCTGTAAGTTAAAAGGTCACACAGGAATGTCTGGTTAGGTATAGTTCATTATCCTAGATTCAACAGAAGTCTGAATGGCCGAGACAAAAAAGCCCCTATCCAAAAACGTTTTGCAAAACTAGAGGTCATTACATCCATGAGAAGTAGAAAAGTGGAGCTGACAGTGCTTTAAAGGACACCAGTCATGTTTCCCAAGTTACGAGAGATGGCTTTAGCAGAATTACTCCAACATGTCCCTGTATGTCAGGGTCTTATGGTCCGGGTACATCTGTAATCAGAATCTGGAGGTGCTTGTTAAAAACGAAGATTCTTCGCCTTGGGATAACTGAATTAGAATTTCTAAAGCAAGGGTTGGATACTGGTGCATTAAAAACATTTTTTTCTTCTTTTTAAATGAGTAATACATGCAAGTAGTACAAAATATGAAAAGTATAACTGAGTATTATTGAAAACCCAGTTTACTGTTCTCCCTTTAGCCACTTAAATATCTGTACTGCAACTAACCATGGTTACCAGTTTCTGTGTTTTTTGTATTTTTAATAAGCTCCTCAGATAATTATATGAATCAAAAATTTGATCGCACATTGGCAGCAATCTGTTTGCTAGCCTTAGCACCTTAGGCAACTTCTTAGGTGAATTAATTTTAAATGTGTTTTTTCATTCACAAAGTGGAGGTGTGAATACCATCACAAGGCTGCTCTAAGATCTGAATGAAATAATGTATAATGCACAAAAAAAGTACTTCACAGAGTATAGCATGGACACTCGATAATAGTAATATATTGAAATTATTCCCCAAAATCCTAAAGGAGGGAGAATATGCAATAGATTCATCAAGGGCTAAACAGAAGTCATGATCTTAATGGGAAGGGCATAGAGGGTGTTTAGATGAAAACTCTGTATGATGTTCATGAAGAACAAGGTGAGGATGATTTAGAGTTGGCATACATATACGTGTGTGACTATGTGTGTGCGTGTTTTGTGTGTGTGATGGCACCCTGGTAGTAGCTACATAATGAATACTTCTGTACATATTATTTCTTAAATTACACCTTAAGTCCATTAGATAAGTATAATTATCTCTACCTTGCAAATAGAGAACCCAAAGCATAAAGATAACCTGGGTCCTGGGTCACATGGTTGGTAAGAGAACTGAGATTTAAACTGAGACGTGTTAAGACTTGAAACCTCATTCTCTTTCCCTAACCTTAAAATCCTCTGGAAAAACCTTTGTGTTGAGATAATCTAAAAGTCTCCAGTAAATGCTCTACAGTTCCTGTGAAGCACAGTGAGTGGCAGTGGCACAGATTCTGGTGTCACCACTCCTCTTTTCTCACATTTTTGTATGACAGCCATTAATGGTGAACCAAGGAACCATCTCCTCTGACACCATGCCAGCCCCAGCCAGGATTTTCCCCAGTAGTTCAACAATACAGGTCAATGGCCTTTTACCAGCTATGTTTGCAGCAAAAAATCTTACAGAAGCAAAAAAGAGAAGGAAGGAGGAAGAAGAAAGAGAGAAAGAGGAAGAAGAAGAAGAAGAGGAGGAAGAGGAAGAGGAGGAGGAGGAGAAGGAGGAGGAGGAGGAGGAGGAGGAGGAGCAGGACGAGGAGGAGGAGGAAGAACTATAGTTGTTTGCTATGTATAAAAACATTTTTTAAAAACTGAACAAATATCTATCAGGGAGGTATGACAATATGACTGTGCAACTAGAAGAGTACATTTGGGTGGCAGGTTTAGATCTACCATGTAGAGGCAGAAGGCAATGACAGATGGCTTACAGAGTCCTCCTGGCTATAAAGTAAGTGAACCTAGGAGCCTGGGAAGCAGTGTGGCAAACAACACAGTGAACACAGAGAGAGCCTCAAAGGCATTTATAGCTTTTGCTCCATTAATCCTACTCCAAAGAATTGTTTTTAGAAAAATTTTTAACAAAAGAAAAAATAAATACATATGTCTACCTGAGTGATTCACTCTTTTCAATAAAAAATTTAAATAATAAAACTGCATACAAAAGTACTGACAACCCAGTGAACTATCTCTGTAAGTCATTAGATAATATATAACAAACAAGACTGGAATATATACATCCCTTCCCTTTACCTCCATAAGGAAATAACACAGCTTACCTTAGTTCATCTTGCATTTCTGCTACCTGGTCCAATAAAATACTTAGTCGATCCCATCTCATATTTCTACATTCTTTATGGAAGTCAAAGGCAATGTACCTATCCCAAAAAAAGATATTCAGTAATTGATAAGGGAGCATTCATTCTCCTATTAACAATACCCTCATATGCTGATTTTTCCCTGTATTAGAGAAGCATACATACATAAATATACATATATGAATACAAATGCATACATTTACTTTCAAAAGTCCTTCTAGGGGCCCTCAAACAGGAGTAGAGAAGTATTGCAAATGTTAGTGGGGGGAGAGAGGGGAGAAGACGGAGGAGGAGGGGAAGAACGAGGAGGAGGAGGAGGAAAAAAGAGAAGAGAACCTGAGCCCCATGAACATATGAAGTGTCTCGTACATTCTACTTCTGCCCAACTTCCTGCTAAGGGATCAAGACAAGCCATGAGGAGGTAGGACATTATCTTCATCTTCACATGAAGCATCTACTCTCATGTGACTCCCTTGCCTCCAAAAGACTTAAGGGACATCAATAGAATGTGGTTGATGTCTACAACCTCAATGGTGATCTCAAGTGAGAATAGTACCCTTAGAAATTAGTACAAATAATACAGGCTAGCCAATGACAGAGTGGGGAAAGCATTTTCAAAGGCAACACTAAAAAAGTGGCAGTATGATACTTATTTTTAGTGCCCTGGCCAGAAATATTAGTGCTAGTCTTATTTAAAGAAAATAAGCACAAAGTTTCAGTTGAGTAAAATGAACGTTCTAGAGATCTACTGAATAATATTGTACCTATAGCCAATAATACTGTACTGTACACTTTAGATCTCAGCTAGAGGCACAGCTGTAGTGGCCCTGGCTTCAATCCCCAGTATTAAGAAAAAAATAAATAGGGAGATTACATGTTAAAGTGTTCCTACTACAATAAAATTAAGGGGGTGGAGAGGAAAAAAAATACCAAACCAAACAAAAAGAATCTACATACTTCACTGGAATCTAAAAATATTTGGCTACTTAAGCTTATATCCTTATTCTAAATTACACTTATGTCTTCTTTCTTTTTTCTTCTTCTTTTCTTTTACTTCTGAACCCAATAGTTCAGCAACTCTACTTCTCTACAAGTTTTATGAAGGAACCCTTATGGACACATCATCTCACACACCTTTTTTTTTCTCTCCCCGTTTCCATATGATGTGTGACCATATGACTTTTCTCTTTCTGGCCATTCACCAATTTCATTACCTTAATTCACTCAGAATAATAACTGGCTAAGAAACTAAAGAGTTAATCAATGTAATAGTCTTAAAGACAACAGCGGATCTAACATTTGATTCGTTTTAACCCAACTCACTGATTCTGTTAACCCTCCCAAAATACATATTTATTAAGTAAAAAAAAAAAAAATTAAGCACACTTTGGCTCCTCTGTCTGGTGGTCTTCAGAGCGCACAGAAAGAAAGTAAATTAGCTTTGGGTACTCATTCTTTAGCAATAGGTGTCTTCCACATTCCCCAAAGGTCATAACTTTAGACTCTAATTCACACCTCAAGTTAGGAAGTCAGCTTCTGAGAAAAACTCCAAATTCCTTGAGACAACTCTGGGGGCCAAGAATGTCTATGGGAACCCTCTGGGACAGAGAAGGTCTTAACCAGCAGTGTATATGGAACCAAACTTTTCGTATACACATGCTGGACCCCAAACCCAGAGATTCAGAATTTTCAGGCCTGGTGGTAAAGGCTAAATCAAGTCCCTGCAAATATTCTCAGACACACCTTGATGAGGAGTTCCTTCTCTGAGTCTCCCAAAGTGTGTCTGGGCAGGTTCTACTGTGTAAAGGTAAAAGAGTGGATCAAGTGAGGCTCAGATAAATTTGCTAGAGCTTTTGAACTGGATGAGAAAGAAATAAATTTTTCCCCAAGATTCATTATATTATTCATCTTTGTGTATGTTTAAATTTTTCCAGAGGTTAAGACAATTTCTCCCTAAATAGCCCAATATCATTTTGGGAATAAAGTTTTCCCCAAATGCCTATGACCACTTCTTGTGATATATCCCCGTTCCCACTGTGCCTCACTTTCCCGCTGCAGAAAGCTCCAAATGGGCTGACTTATTTCTTTCTACAGCATAGCTCATGTTTCAGGATTCCCATCTTTCCACAAGGATACATAGTGCTTTCAACTCTTGCCTGGTGAAATACAGTATAGACAAAGGTGCTATTCCAGGGGAGGTCACCATGCAAGACCTAAACTGCTCCAGCCTATGTGGTCAGGATCACAGAGACCACATCAGATAATCATTAAGAACCGAAACTCATGAGCTAATGGCAGGTTGCCCAACAAAGCCTCACAAGAAGGTACCTGATCATTCCACTTCCCAAGGAAGACACCATTGTTGCAAATGCCTGTTCAAGTGGCTTCTCTGAGCCCTTCTGGTTTACCTGTAAAAAAAATGTAAAGCACCTTATTTTTCAGTTTATGACAGAGAGGGTATTATCAAGAAAATAGCAAGGAAGCTCTCAGCTCTCATTCTGGCAAAGAAACAATGAGAAAAAATAAAATAGTAGAACCAACTTTGTAGAAGCTGTAGAAAAATAATCAAAGGTTTACAACAACCAACTAAATGCTCAGTCAAGAAAAGGCCACCTGTCAAACTGTAGGAAATCTCTGTGGCATTTTTTTTGTAGTAAAAATACAGTAAAGTTTATTAGGAAAGAAATTTAGTGTAACAGGATAAAATGGGGAGAAATGGAAAAAAAAGAGAAACATTTTCTGCCCCCTTGCAGGAAATGGGATAGAAGACTCCTCTGTGGCATTTTTATTCTGTGGCTTCCCCCACTGTCTCCCCAGAAGGTGACAAACTTAGTTTTAAACTGCAGTGACTTTGTTCTCAGTTCCCTTCATCAAACAAGGAAAGACCACCACCCCGATTTGCAAATAACTATATACATCTATTTTAGCCCACAAGACCAACTCACTCATCTGTGTTGCATAACTCTGAACACAGATGGGGGAACATCAGACAATGTTTTAAAAGCTACAATAGGACTACAAAACAAATATCCGGAACAAGAGATTCTGGATGGAGACGCACAATGGCTGCCTAAAGCCTGCAGGAAAAGCTGGGAAACGGGGACAATGGAGAAAGCTACCCACATGTTCAAGTAAGAAGCATGCACAGAAAAATCCTAAGACTTTAAACCTTCCCTTAAAACTATTCCTTAGCCTCAGAATGGGCTGGTCTGCAAAGAATGGGAAGCAGGGATATTCTCATTTTTAAGTGTTTTGTTAGGTTTTTTTTTTAAATTCCAATCTGTCAAAACATTAGCTAATCACAGCAAAAAGAAGAGACTTCAAACTAGCATACATGACAAGGAACAATCTTTCCCAAAGTAGCTTGGAACAGTCTCACAATAAATGGATTACTACAGTCTTTAACAATTAAAAAACAAAACAACTAAAAAAAACCTCTGGGGAAGGTTTCTAAACCTTCTAGACTTACCATATGGTAATAATCAAACATGCAATTAAAAGGGAAAAAAAATCACAAGCAGAGAACAGAAAAAACATGGCTTACCCCAAGGACAAAAAATGGGCCAAGCATGGTGGTACACACCTGTAATCCCAGCTACATGGGAGGTGGATATGGGAGGATTGAGACTTAAGGCCAACCCTGACAAAACTGCAAGAACCCTATCTGAAAATAACTAAAGTAAAAAGGGATTCCACCACTCAAGTGGCAGAATGCCTGCTAAGCAAGTATAACTACCTGGGTTCAAACCCTAGTACCACCAAAAAAGAAAAAAAAACAAAACAAAAAATTGGTCCTATGGAAGCAAGGACAGCAAGGACATCAGTCTTACTATGGAAAGACTTTAAAACAACTGTCTGTTTTAAATATGCTCAATGGAAAACATAAGGAACTAAATGAAATCAGGAAGGCGGTAGATGAACAAAATTAAGATATTCACAAAGAAATTATTAAAAGCCACCAAACAATAAGTCTGGAGCTAAAAAGTACAGTAACTGAAATTAAAAAAAAATTAGTAGAGGAGTTCAACATCACACTTGAAGCAGCAGATAAAATAATCAGTGAACATGAAGATAGGAAACTTAAAATAACCAAATATGAGGAAAAGAAAAAAGAATGAGGGTTAGGGGTACAGCTCAATGGTAGAGAATTTGTCTAACAAAAGCTGCAGGCCTAGATTCTATCCCTAGCACTACATGATCAAGCAGACAATACATACATTATAAGAGGCCCAGAAGAAAAAGAGAAAATGGGATGGAGAGATTATCTGAATTAAACAATGATCCAAAACTCTCCAAATGTGATGAAAGACAGAATCTTCAAATTCAAGAAGTGCACTGAACTCTAGGAGGATAAACTGAGACTCACACTGAAAACATAATCACATGGCTGAAAGACAGAGAAACTTTTGAAAGTAATGAGTGAGACAGAGAACTCATCACACACAGAAATCTTAAGGAGGCCAGAAAGTAGTGAATGGTACATATTCCAAAGCTTAAACAGTGCTAAAAAGGAAATTCATTATAAAAACTCAAGGGCTGGAGAGCCATGGCTCAAGTGGTACAATGTTGTCTAGCAAGTGAACTCAGAGCCCTGAGTTCAAACTGCAGTACCAACATAAAAGAAAAGAAAGACTTCAAATCAATAACTTACCCTTACATCCTAATGAACTAGAAAAAAGAGTAAACTAAGCCCATGGCTAGCAGAGGAAGGAAGTGATAAAGATTAGAGCAGAGATGAATAAAACAAACAACAGAAAACCAATAGAGGATGTCAACATAACAAAGAGATGATGCTTTTGAAAGATCAATAAAGGTGGCAAACCTAGCTAGAATGACCAAGAAAAAAAGACTGAAGTTATTAACACCAAGAAAGACAATGACATTACTAATGACTTTTGATAAATACAAAGAATTATGAGAGAATATTGCACACCAATAAAACTATATAACTTAGATATGAACAAATTCCTAGATACACACAATCTACCAACACTGATTAATAAGCAAATAGAAAACTGAGTAGACAAAACACTAAGAAGGAGATTGAACCAGTGTTGAAAAACTTCTAAACAAAGCAAAGTCCTAGGTCAGATGTCTTTACTAGTGAATTAGAATGGCTATTATTAAACAAAACAAAACAACAGAAAATAACCCTGATACACGGCTGGTAGGAATATAAAATGGTAAAAATGGTACAGTCACTGTGGAAAACTCAAAACTGTAATTCCTCAAAACATCAAACATAAAATTCCCAAGTGATCGAGTAGATCACTATATCACATGTGGATATAAACCTAAAAGAATTCAAAGCAGAAACTGAAACAGATACTTGCATACCAATGTTTATAGAAGCATTATTCACAATAACCAAAAGGCAGAAAAAACCCCAATGTTCACCACCAAATGAATAAATACACAAAATGTACTGTACATCTACAATAGAACACTATTCAGTCTTAAAAGGAGATGAAATTCTGATAAATATGGATGAAACTTTAAAATACTATACTAAGAGAAAAAAGTAAAACACAAAAGGACAAATATTGTATGAGTCCATTTCTATGGGAAACATAAAAAAGGCAAGTTCAGAGACACATGAGTAAAATAAAATCACTAGACTGGGGAAAGAAGGAATAGGAAGTTACCAGCATAATGGGTACAGAGTTTCTATTTGGGACGATGCAAAGCTATAGTAATGGATAGTGGTGGTGGCTGAACAACATTGTGAAAAATTTAGTGTCACTGAAGTTTTTATTTTATTCCCCCCCCCCCAAAAAATACAAGAAACCTACCAGATTGATTATGACTTGTTTTCCATAAATAATTACTTGTGAATCAAAATGCCTTTGGAAACCATCCATCTAAAGGGGGGAAAGGTATATACTTAACCAAATTACATTTTAAAAATATTTATAACATTTTAAAAAGTTCTTCCTTATTATGACTTGTTTTCCATAAATAATTAGTGTGACTCAAAATGCCTTTGGAAACCATCCATCTAAAAGGGAAAAGGTATATATACTTAACCAAATTACATTTTAAAAATATTTACAGCATTTTAAAAAGTTCTTCCTTAACCTACTTCTACATGCAAGTGAATGATGTCAGTCTGGGAACCATGAATCACTGCATCTAGATATTCTAAATACCATGTCACAAATAGTAGCTATAAGCCATTTTACTCTGAGCTACAATACTATTTTAATTCTGAGTACAACCTCAATAGGACCCACTAAGTACTCTAAACCATACAAAGTTGTAAATCTTACTGTGCACTCTTGAGTCTACATTTGCCACCCACTCTATCACGGGGCCCCCACCACCATTTCTAACATGGCATGCATGGAGCATTTAGTTTTAGAGGTTCACTGTGCTGGAATCAAGGAGGATGACCTTGATGTTGAACTCTGACTTTTGGAGAACAAATACATACTCTGTATGCAAATTATAATGCCACTAAGGTTCTATTTTTGGCCAATGGGTAAAAGCACACTGAAGATACATACATGATTTGCTACTTTATTGATCTGTGGCAGTGGTTTGTACTTGAGATTTGGTCTTTGGGACCAAAAAACAGGTATTGATCCTCGAGTCTAAAAGAAAAGAGAGAAATGTGAAAAGAAACACACACAAAAACTTATTTTTTTGCAACTTATTGCTAGCAGGATAAACATTAATGACTTTGCAAAGAAAAAAATAATATAACCTACTAGCTATGAAAGAACTGTAAAAGTTCGTATTTTATGGGAATATGCTCAGAAAGAACTCTATATACATAGTACTTCTATAGTAGACAGTTCTTATTTCCCTTAAATTCTAAAATAAATCAATTTATCCACAAGTAAAAATTAAAAAGTTATGTGTATTATATAATTTGGCAGTATGAAAAATTAAAAACCTGCTTTACTCATTCTCACAGGAGTATGTTCATGAACATATGAACATGTTTGGCTACTAATACTCAAGAGCAGAAAGTGATCCACAACAGATGAGAAGAATGTCACAGTGACATATGACATCAGCTTGTCCTAGCATCATCACCCTGGGTAGGTCTGAAATGTTAAAGCAGATGTATGGCTGCCTAGATTTCTGTAACTCTTACACCTCCTTCTCTACCCCTCTCCTTTAGAGATTTAAAGTAAGGAAATGTCAGTAGGACAAAGTCAGATTAAAGAACAGCCCTTTGATCAGGTGAACTTTTCCATACTGTAGACAAAGACATTATCTAAGAAAGAAGGGGAAGGGCAGGGAGGAAAATTTCAACACGATAAGGAAACTACGATAAGGAAGAAAAGGGCACCTAGCCACAGCCACGTGAACTTGCCTGTACAAACGAAGCCCTGCTCCCACTGTAGTGCACAATTTGCTCTGTTTCTACAAAGTTAGCAGCATGGCCTTCAGAATCAATTCCTACATTGAAAAAATAAGAATTAATTACATTTACTACCTAAGAAGTATACTAGAAACTCATTAATTCAGATAACTTAGAATTAACTCAGTTCAAATTAATGGAAAAGTACTTACAAAATAAAATTCTAACTTATGTATAGTACATGATTAGAAAACTCTCATCTAAGTAGGTGCTAACAGAGGTAATAAAGATTTATTAATAAACAGATGAAACTGGTTGCTGTTTTATACATATACAAACTTCCTCTAAAAAAGTCCTCATGCTTGAGACATCTTTTAAAGAAAAAACATTCTCAAGTATATATAACATATATTTTCTATTATTTGGGGGGCGGGGGCAATATTGAGGTTAGAACTCAGGGCCTCGTGTTTGCCAGGCAGGTGCTCTACCATTTGAGCCATGCCACCAGCCCAACAGATCTTATTTTGAACAATACTAACTTGAGAGTTAAACTATCAATTCAAATGATCATACTTAATAATAACAACATAATATTAAATGCAAACCTGGCCCTTACATTAGTAGTATTTAGTTGTAATGACGCAAATAGTCTCTGAAAGATGCTTATGTTAATTTTAATTACCAAACTAAAAATGCAAAAACTGTTTAATTTGAAGCTTCTGTAACTCCATGAATATACCCAGGAAACTTAGTTTGAAAAGCACTACTTCAAAGTGCTTGCAAACACTTTATGCCAGTTGGTCCTTTTCAATATCTGAAGTGTTCCCTTACCAACTTGTTTACATGATCTATTTTTACCAAAAAAGGCTTGCAAGCAAATCCAACTTTCAAGCTAGTCCCAAATTCTGAGAAGGAATTCATGGATTTTTAACTCCCAAATATTTCTTAATATCCTTTCTATCCATTATAGTTCTCAAATACAGCATTTTGGCTTTGTGTGGTTTTATAAAAATAAGACAGTGTATTACCAGAAGGGGACAAAATTTTTGAACCAAATCAGTAATGATATAACTGCTCAATACTTTCTGAAGCATGGACCATGTTTATAACTGTAACTAGAAAGAGTGTGTGAAGCCAGGTGCTGGTGGCTCATGCCTGTAATCCCAGCTACTTGGGAGGCTGAGAAGGGGACAGACTGTGGTTCAAGGCTGGCCCAGGCAAACAGTTCCCAAGACCTCATCTCCAAAATAACCAGAGGAACATGGACTGGAGATGTGGCTCAAGTGGTAGGGCACCCGTTTTGCAAGTGTGAAACCCTAGGCCCACACACCAAAAAAAAAAAAAAAAGAAAAGAAAAAAAAAAAAAAAAAAAAACAGTGAGAAGAGAGAAAAGAAAGGGAGTCGGTAAGGGTGAGGAGAAGAGATATCTTTATGAAAAGATTTCCAAGATATGTTAAATTTTTTTAAAAAGAAAGGTACAGGAAAGCGTTCACAAAATATAACTACTGTCTACAAAAGGAGGAAAACAGTAACACATACTAGCTGTATTAACAAAAATTATCCAGAAGGAAAACAAGAAATTAACATCTGATTAGCTGGCAGAGGGGTAAGAACTGAGCAGATGAAGTCAGAAATAGAAAATTTTTATCATTTTTTAAAATACTTTTTGGTATTTAAAGTATGTAAATGTACGGCCTATTCAAAAATTTCACATAGAAACTGTTTCTATCAAAAAAAAATCTAGTTACATGGAATTTGCTAACCCTAATTCTGGTTCTGTGAGCTTAGCCAGGTCATTCACTCAGGGTCTTTCTTCCTCTGCTATAACAACATCTGTAGTGAGATTAACCAAGTAATCTAACTTTCTGACCCCAAACTTGGATGATTTATTGAAAAGTTGGAGAAATCCCATTTTATGATGACAGTACCTTTTTTCTGATCCCAAACTTGGATGATTTATTGAAAAGTTGGAGAAATTCCATTTTATGATGACAGTACCTTTTGTGGGTGGTACTCAGGAGGCTCTCGGTGGCAGGTGCTCTACCACTTGAGTCACGCCTTCAGCCCCTAACAGCAACTTTTTTAATACACATTTCAAAAGCCTGGTTTTGGTAAATTAGTTATGTTGCTAGTATAAAAGTTTACAGAATATTCCAAATGTAAATATTTTATAAAAACTGAAGACATGAAGTAAAACATCTAGCTTTATACATGTGAAGAAACCAAGAACAATAAAAGAAAAAAAATTTATTTGAGACAGGGCTTTGAACTCTTCTACCTCCCAAGTGCTGGGAATACAAGTGTGTACCACCATTCCCAGCAGAAATTACTTTCTGATAAGAGTTTCAGGTACTGAAAATTATACTAGGTTGGCAACACTTTCAGAATCCAGAAAACACACTGGTTCCTCTTAGAACAGTTAAGAAGCACTCTACACTACGACATTAACATTTGAAAGATAATTACAGTAGCTAGAATAAAGCACAGAAGACCTATCTAATTATTATAATGAGGCAGGACATAAATATGTAGAGAGGCTATCAAATAATAATGAATACAACATGCAAAAGGTTGCAGTCATGTCACTGTAAGACAAGCTTTAATTAGTGATAGATATGACCTATTACTAAATCAGTCTCACCTCTTACATAATAGCGCACGCCAGCTCTGAAACAGCTCCTCCTGGAGATAAGAATCCAATCGAAGTATTTCCCATTAACAGAACATGAGTGCATAGTAATAACTTATCTATGTTAAGAAAAATACAACATGTAGAAATATATATATATTCTCTCTAGATTTGATTTGAATCTATTCAGCCTGAGAAGAATGAATTGTCTTTAAAGAGAATAAAAGATACAAATCTTTCTGGTTCTTCATGATTAGTCAAGGCTTTAGTACTAATTCTCAATTGTGAAGTTTTGTCAAGTCAGTCTCTCCAGAATGAGGTCTGCACAGAAAGCTAAAGCACGGTGCTGTAGCAGTGTCTCTATTTAAGTGTTTTCCTTTCTCTATCTTACATATGTTAAGATTTTCTCAAAGTAAAGAATTAAGTATTAACTGTATCACAAAAATCCTACTCTGAATGAAAAACAAAAGATTATTCTTCAAATAAAAATGGAAAATAGAGAAAATAGGCTATTGAAGTTAAAGAGAAAACCTCGCAATATATCACGTGTGGATGTACCTGGAGATTAGCTGTAACAGATGGCTAGCATATGAAGACTTTACAGATCAAACTATAAAATAAAACAATCTAGAAACAGAATTTTAACTCTTTTTCCCTGAAATAAGAAAAGTGAACCTAAATATGAAAAAAATTAAATGTAAAAAAAAAAAATCTCTCTCTCTAAGCTTCTCTTCTCTAAGTCTTTCCCTGACTACTGCTAAGAGCACAGTCTATGTCATAAGACAGACGGTACCTCCAGGAGTAAAGAGCCACATAGATGAAAATGCTAAGGGCCAGTCTCCCCATTTCACTGAGGGTAAAGGACTGCAAAAGCCTCCAGAAGGGGCATACTTCTTACATTAAATACTGTCCTATGAAATACAATAGACAGAAAAGAAAATACAATGCAAAGAATAGATTTACCAAAGCCCCATGTATGATGAGTTACTGCTTAAATAGGGGTAGAATTTCAGATTGGAAACATTTTGAAAATAGTGATGTAGACTAGTTACATTCACAACATAGTGAATGTAACTAATGTCATTCATTGAATTGTACACTTAAAAATGGTTTAAAAATGACAACTTTCATGTTAAGTCTATATACACACACACAAACACACTTATTGCTAAAGCACCATGAACTCTCTCCATCTGGCTCTATACTGCCACTCACTGCAGCATTCCTTTGCTTTTCTAGTTTTGCCACTATTGTTTAGTCGAAAGTTTCTGAGGTATTTACATGAAGTGAGTTATACTGTAGGTGTTTGTTTTCCTTTTCATTTTTTTTTAATTTACTACCTGTGTTCTTTTGGCTTTCTTCATTTGTTCAACATGTTCAGGAGGTATCTGTATAAATATAAGACAGTTCATGACTGTATCATAATACTCTCTATGAATATACTACCGGTTTTGGGGTTTGTGTGTATGTGTTTGTGACAGGTCTTACTATGTAGCCCCAGGCTGGCCTTGAACTCTCCATCCTCTGGTGATCCTCCTGCTTCAGTCTCTGAAGTGCTGGGATTACAGACATGTACTACCATGCCTGGCTGTTTGCCAGTTTATTCATTCTACTATGTGTGAACATGTATTTTGTCTCCAGCTTTTGCTACGATAACAGTGTTGCAACAAACGTCTCTATACATGAATATGTGGAAATAAAGAAGTGGTACTGCTGGATCACAGTACATTCACCATCTGATCTTATTAGGAAATACCAAATGGTTTTGAGAATTACTTTGGTGTCTCATCTTTACCAATACTTGATATCGTCAGCTTTCTCACTTGTGTGACTGGTGGAGCATAGAAAAGAACAACAGGTTTGTTTTATTGTTTCTATGTCTACACCCTTTCCCCACACCTCATTTTTGAGGGGTTTGCCCTATGGATATATTCTGTATGTAACATTTTTTCTTAGTATCATTTGATTCATCCATTACAAAACATAAAGCATAGTAAGTATGTGTTAGACTACTATCCAACTTCAGAACAATACCAAAACTATCTGTTCCTTCCCCATGCCAGCCACCTACCTTTCTGTCTGAAACACTGTTCTCACATTTGAAGACACCATTCTCCTATGGTTAGTTTCAACACCTGCAACCATGGCTTTAAAACACACAGCTTACTTTTCAATTTTATGAAAATGGTACCACACTAAACTTCTAAACCTTGTTTTTTTTTCCTCCAAATTCCCTGCATTCATCCTTGTATTGCATGAAATAGTTCATTCCTCAGTGCTATACACAATCTACAAGGACCATACCACAAAGACATAATTCTTCTGCTGATAGAACTTGTGGTCATTGCTTTCCTCTAACATGTCACTGAGGACATTCTTGTAAATACTTCCTGGTAAGAAGGTATGGGAGCCAGGCACAATGGCACCCATCGATAATACCAGCTACCCAGCACATGGAGGCAGGGGGATTACTTTGAGGCCAGCCTGGGCAAAGGTAGTATGAGACCATGTCTCAAAAAAATAAAGGTCTAGCACCAGTGGCTCAGGCCTGTAATCTAGCTATTTGGGAGGCAGAGATCAGGAGGTAACAGTTCCAGGCCAGCCTGGGCAAGAAGTGAGACCCTATCTCAAAAATACCCAACACAGAAAGAGGCTAGTGGTGTGGTTCAAATGGAAGAACAACCACCTAGCAAGCATGAAGCCCTGAGTTCAAATACCAGTACTACCAAAAAATAAATAAATAAAAATGAAAGGAAGGGAGGGAGGGAGGGAAGGAGAGAGGAAACGAGGGAGGAAAGACAAAAGGAAAGTACGGGAAATTCAGGGAAGTGCTGGCATGAGAATGCCAAGTAATTTTCAACACGCAGTACTAAATGACACCAGCAACATGTACTGTTAATGACTCATTCCTCTCTACTCCCTGGAACAATCAGACTTACTAATGGCTGCTGTTGAGCTCCCAATTAACTCTTCTTTAAAGCCCATGGCACCAGAAGATTCCAAGGCAGGATTTATTCATTCACTCACCAGATGAGTAAAACACAAGCCTGCTCTTAGAGCTAAATCTAGCAGAAAGTATAACTACTTTATGAGTCATTGCCTCTGATTACAACACAAATACGTGTGTGCACACACACTTTGGAGAATCCAGAAAAGCAGGGAAGGAACAAGAGAAAAGTACAAATGGTAATTATCAAAGATGAGTGAATTCACTTATACTCTGTGTGCCCGAGATGACCCACTCCCCGTCTCCAAGGTATTTCACACATACCTTGACCTCCACTACTCCTCTCATCCCACTCACAGCCGATGGCACTGCTTCCTACTTCATTATGAAAAGAAAAGCCTTCCACATGCTCCTACCACATTTACACAACCACCTGCATCCACCACCTTCCCTTCTGTGATGGTGGATAAGCTTGTCATGGTAGCGGCCATGACAGGCCTCTACCTGTGCACAGATCACACCTCCTCCTCAACACTCAGGGCCTCACCCCAAATGTATCTTCATCAGTTTTCCCCTTTTCCAAAATCTTTCTTAGCAAAATTTGGTAATTTCCTCATCTGGGGAGGAAGTAAGGGGAGGGGCAGGAACATGACCTCCTGCCTTAATAGTCATCGCATTTAACCAACCACCAGTGAATCAGCTGCTTCCACCCACTTTCTCAAAGCACTATCTTCACTCACTTCTGGGACACTATCTCACTTGGTTTTCCTTTTTCTCACTGGCCTGTGCTGCTATCTCCATTTCTGCAACTCTAGAAGCTTGGAGCAACTCTATGGCCTGTCCTTTTGATCACTTACTTTGGTTCCTCCACTTAAGAAGTTGTCATCCTTACTAATGCCTAATAGGTCACAGCTCTTAACATTTTCACACTATCTAGTACTGCCCTTGGGCCACCCTCTCTCTTCTCCAGACCATTTCTCTTCTCTATGTACACTTCTTCCTTTAATGGTTTCATCCAGTTTTATGGCTTGAAATGTCATCTATATGTTGACCACTCTTAAATTTATGCCTCCACATGGGCACCTTCCCTGAACTCCAGCTCCACTGATACAACTCCTTCCTTCATTTTTATTTGAGTATCTATAGAAATCTCAAGCTTCACATGTCCAAATGGAACTCTGATACTCTTCTGCCTCCTTCCCACCTCCAGACTCTTCCCCAGTGGATGACTTCCTCCCACTTACTCTAGCCAAAAATCTTACAGTTCTACTAATCTCTTCTCTTTCATATACCATGCACAATCTGTCAGAAAAATCCTGTTAGCTCTATCTTCAAAGGTTATTTAAAATGAGACCATTTCCTCCACCATCTTTGCTACCACCCTGGAGCTAGCCTATCACCTCTGACCTGGATGACAACAACTCCTCCAAATTGTTCCTTGTGTCCACCTTTGCTTACCTTTGGCCTCATCTCTGTATCAGTCAGAGACCCTATCCTACCATGCCAATTTTCTACTCAAATGCCCCCAACAGTTTCTCACTGCATTTTAAAGTAAAAGCTACAGTCCTTCCCATGATCCATAAAGCTGAGTAATCTGGGTCCAGCTATTTCCTGAACACAACTGGCATCACTCCCTGTCCACACACTGCCCGTCACGCTCTTACCTTGGGGCATTTGTACTTGCTGATCTTTCTGTATGTATGTGACACACACAACTATATTTCTAGCCAACAAACTAATCGAAAGCTCACGTAAAGCTTTTAAATTTAAAACTAAATGGATAAGCTTTTTCTAAAACAGCCTAGAAAAAATAAGGTCATTTGATATTATTTGTCCATTCACATTCTCATTTTGAAAATGAAACAAAACAGAAATAGTTGGCTCAAATTCTGAAAGCACTATGTAAACACATGTGTTCTTATTTCATCCTCAGGGGGTGGGGGGTTCAAAATAAACAAAGAGCTTTTATCCTGAGACGGTCTGATTTTTATCCTCCATTACTTTTCTGCTTCTAAGAAGCATAATGATTTAATAAAATATTAACATAATCAATAAATCAGTCACACAGTTGTATCAACAAGCTTCTGGAGGGTATTTGATAAAAAGATGTCACTACAGTTTTTACAGGGCACAGTCCTGATAACAGGCACTCATCAGCATATACTGTACCTATCCTTCAAGAGCTAGCTATTTTACTTCTATATTTTTATTACGATCTCTTTGATAAGAATGTTTTTTAAATGAACTTACAATTAGATAATTACTCATTTTCCATTTGCACTATGATTTTCATCAAAAATTATTTTTGAACCCTATTTTCTATCACTATTTCAAATAGCAATTAATATTCTTAATTTCTCCTCTCCAAGCTAAAGACCACCTTAATTCCTACATCAAACATTTTTAATACTAAAGAAAGGTTTCATTTAAACAGTCAGGTTTCACCACTCTTATGTAACTCACTGCCATAAACACAATGTTAAAAAGAGGTAAAATGCAGTACACAAAAGCCCTTTTTTTAAAACCACCAGCCCTGAAACTCTTAAACACAAGCAATAATTTAGTGTGAAGAGTTCATATTTTTAAAAAAGTGGTTATAGCTAGGTGCCACTGGCTCACACCTATAATCCTTGCTACTTGAGAGGCTAAGATTGGGAGGGGATCATGGTTCCAGGTCAGCATGGGCAAACAGTTGATGAGACTCCATCTCCAAAATTACCACAGCAAAATGGACTGGAGGTCAGGCTCAGGTGTTAGAGCTCCTGCTTTGCAAGCATGAAGCCTTAAGTTCAAACCTCAGTCCCACACACACCAAAAACAGTGGTTGTTTATAATCAGTATGCTAATATTTTACATTACTAAATTTAAATTTCTTCATAATAATTTCTACAAGTCCTGAAATGCTCTTCCTTAATAGATTTGAGACCGTCTCTGAATCTGCCTCATAACAAAATATACATAAAGACTACTAGAAACTAAACAGTACTATCAGAGAAGGATACAGCCATGTAACACTGGAAGAGCAAACCGATGGACCTGAAAGGAAGATAAACAATGTAGTTAGAAATCAACATACCTTTAAAAAAAAAAAAAGTAAATAAAGTTGTATGTATTTGTAATTTTAAAGAAATGTAATTGCATAGTCTTGAACAGTCACCAGTTTTTAAATACTAATTAAGCTACATAAAGTTACAAAATATTTACCTCCCTCCTAAAATTTTCAGACTTTGCCTATAACGCTACTCCTTCTGAGAAAAGATAGTCTGTGCAACCCAAGCTACTTTTTCCAAAAAGCATAGTGAATGACAAGTAATACAGCACTTACACAAATCTATTCCCCTGGAATATTATGCCTTCTCAGCAGGGCCTCCCTCTTCTAGGTCATTTGTAAAAACAAAGGACAGAGGCTGTGGCATCTGGACATGTCTCCCCTGGGTTGCTGAGTGGAGTCACACATCCCTTGGGAAACAGCTTCAGAGCTTTCCACTTGGCCTCGGGACTTAGCCTTGGCCCCTCATTTCTACGTTATTCACCAACCAAGACCCATTTCAGCTCTGAGAGAAAGTGTTTGGGGACAGGGAGGTATGACTCCAGTGGCAGAGCACCTGCCTAAAAAATGCAAGGCCCTGAATTCAAACCCTAGTACAGTGGAAAAAAAAAAAAAAAAAAAGCGGGGTTGGGGGTGGGAGACTTTGTTTTGTTTTATAACATAAGGTTTCCATAATTGTTACAGTTTGGATCTTAAATGTTCCCCCAAAGGCTTGGTCACTAGCACGTGCAGCTCTTCGTAGGTGATGGGGTCTTTAGGAAGTGGAGCCTAGTAGAAATAAGTTAGGTCATTAGGGGCTAACCCTTGAAGGGGATGTTGGCCCTTACTGGATACTGGCCATCCCTCTTGCTCTTTGTTTCCAGGCTACCATAAGGTAAGCAGTTTGCTCCACTATGTGCTCCCAACATGATGTTCTGCCTCATGGAACAGGCCCAAAAGCAAGGGAGCCTACAAACAATGGAATGAAGCCGGTGAAACTATGAGCCAAAATAAACTTCTCCTCCTTATAAGTTGTTTATCTCAGGTGCTTTGTCACAGAGACAAAGCTGACTAACACAAATAATTAGGCTTCTTCAACCTAGAGCAATATGAGAGGGTAGATATGATTGAAGTGTAGGTGTTACAGTTCAATTAGAATTATTTGCTCAAACCCTGGTGATTAGGTAGTCATTACAATGTGCAGTCAAACCATGGACTGTGACAAGAAAGCAGAATTAAGTTAGTGTATATTACCTCTGGCTGAGCAGACAGTTCTCTGAGAAGATGCCCATTCCATACAAACCGCTGATCTGCCTGAGAGAAATTTTAAAACTTAACAAAAATTCCTGCTACACTGAATGTCTACAGAAAGAAAACTATACCCAACAATGCCTGCATCCAGTGGCTGGAAGCACTTTTCCTTGACGTGCCACCAACAGAATACATTTTGCCCCCTCAATCTGCTCCTCTCCCACCATTCCTGTGTCTACCTCATGCCACTCAGAAACATGGGAGTCCTCCAAGGTCACTGCCCTCTGGGTTCACTGCCCACTGTCTGCGTAAAGCATCCACTGAGCCACACTGCATTCCTAGCCACATCAGTGGTCACAGGGAATAGCCCCCGCACTTGGCCACAGCCAGGTGAATATTACTTCTTGAGATTTGAGTGTACATTCCCCATTATGCCAGTCCACTTGTTCTTCACCAATACACAATGATGTGATGACACAATTTAACTGAAAGTTGCACACATCAATGAAAGGTAACTAAAACAAACTGCTATTTCTATAAAGTTGAAAAATCTGGAATATAACTTGACAGGAGGCAAGTCGTTAAAACTGTTATGGAAAGGAGTCAAAGTGGCAACTAAAACAGTTTAGAGGAACTTAGCAAAACTGAAGGATTCTGTACACAGGGTGCTCTGTAATATCAAAGTCTTTAAAAGATTCAATTTGAGCCGGAAGCCAGTGGCTCATACCTGCAATCCTACTCAGTTGTCAGAGATCAGGAGGATCATGGTTTGAAGCCAGCCCCAGGCAAATAGTTCATGAGACCCTATCTCAAAAACACCCATCACACAAAAAAAGGACTGGTGGAGTGGCTCAAGTGGTAGAGCACCTACCTAGCAAGCATGAGGCCCTGAGTTCAAACCCCAGTGCTGTTAAATAAATTAATAAATAAAAAAAGACTCAAACTGGAAAGCTTCATGGATGAGTTTGACACAGGAAAGATATAACTGGAATTAAGGCACTAAAAACAAAGAAAAACCTGTTTTTACATAAAAACACTGATTAGTCAACATAAAATTTTATTTCAAGATAAAATGTTTATGATATATGTTTCACTTATCACCTTTTTGATTTCTCTGTAACGGACTTCTTTGATTAGTTGACAAAAAAAACCCCATCTCATTCCAACAGATGAGATGGCTTCTTCAGCTCAGTCTACTATTCCCACTGCCTTTGCCTAGAAACTTCCCTCTCACATTATCACCTCACCAACAAGCTCTCAGCTAAAGTGTCACCTTACTTTGTACAATTATCCCTGGCACTCCAGGCAGTGTTATACCCTCCTTTCTGTATGATCCCACCACACTTTTGACACCTATCTCTAGTATAGCAATTGTCTCTTGTTTGACTGCTTGGACCACTATCTCTCTAAGGGCAAGAGCCACAGCTGTTCTTTCTGGGTCCCCACTAGCTAGAATGGTGCCTGGTACATAGTGGGCATCAGAGAGAAGTTTGATAAACAAATGGAGAACATAACAATTTCTTTTAAAAGTATCACTCTCTTGTTTAAAAGCAAAATTTCTTGATTACTTAGCTTGTATCTAAATTAACATCTGAGTTCATAACCAATTTTATTTGATTGGAGTATAAAATCTCACCCAAGAGTCAACTAAAATACTAATGCAGGTTAAACTATGACATTATCAATTTTACTGGTCAAAAATGGTCAATTATTGGCAATTTCATACGATCCAATCTAACAGGTAACAGACAGTCTAAATCTAGTCTGTTTTAAATCTAAACACATATACAGTTTGTTAATAAAAATAAAATTTTTTTAAAAAGGCAATTATCCAAGCCCATGAATAGCAGAAACTTTCAAATGAGATCATCTAAGGTTTAGGGTTTTTTTGGTTGTACTGGGGTTTAAACTCAGGGCCTCACACTTGCTAGTCAGGTGCTCGACCACTTGAGTCACTCTGACAGTCCTTTTTTGTGTTGAGTTTTTCAAGATAGGGTCTATGAACTATTTGCCTGGGCTGGCTTCAAACCGTGATCCTGCCTCCCGAGTAGCTAGGATTATGGGCATGAGTCACCAGTACCCAGCTTGAGATCACCTACTTTTAAGAAGAAAAATAAGTAACATTAACAAAAAAGTTTAAAAAGATATTTCCAAGTTCTTTTCTTGTCTTTTTTTTTTTTCATTTTTTTTAGACAGGTCTTGCTGATAGCTCAGGCTAGTCTGAACTCAAGATCCTCCTCCCTTAGCTTCCTGAATACTAGGATTATAGGCATGCACCACAACACCCTGCTCAAGTTCTTAAATAAATACATTGCTACTTTTCTAATTAAAAGAAAATACAAGTAACATCACTGACAACAGAGCATCAACTTCTAGGACACTGACTTCTACAAGCCTAATTATGTAAAGAAATGACAAATGAATGCAAGGCTAGCTTGAGATTTGACATCTGAGAGTTTGTACTTGATGGCCTGGCAATACTTGTGCAAAAATATAAATTCTGAAAGGTTTTCCTCTAATTATTTATATGTATGTTTCTTTTTTTTCCCCTTCTTTCTTTGAGTCTCACTATGTAGCTCAGTCTTACCTCAAATTTGAGCTCCTCCCGCCTCAGCCTCTTGAATGCTAAGCTTACAGGCGTGTGCCACCACATCCGTATGTATTTCAACTAGATTTCTCAATATTTATAGCAATAATGCTCAATCGTGACATACACAGATTCCTGGGCCCTTAATTTGGGATTGTGATAGACATTAGAAACATGCTAAATTTTCAAAACCCTCATATGATCCTAATACAGACAAGAGCAAGAAAAATCTAAATCAGTCCTGGGGTGGAGCTCAGTGGTACAGCACTTGCTTTGCACTTATGAAGTCCTGGGTTCAATCCCTAGCACCCAAATTAAGAAAGAAAGAAAAATCAACACAAATTTTTATGAGTGGAAGAGGTAATGCCGTTTTTTAAAAAAACTAAACAGAAATAAAAATAACTGATAGTCAAGCTTACCCTTTCCAAGAGACTCATTTCCTGAAATTCTGGACTTGTGTTGAACAACCGCTGCAAAGTATGCGTCAAATCATACGTTGTTGAAAAGTAGAATCCATCCATACTCAAGACATGGTTTAGCATTGCTAGGAAAGTTTTATTATCCTGTAACTGTAAACAAAGGGTAAAAAAATCAGTATATCCCATGGTTGAAAAGGAAATCTGTCAGCATGAGAAAAGAGCAAAACTAAAAACACCTGAGTATAGTCCTGTTAAATACCACTGGTCTAAGGACTGGGCCAGAGAGGGGGATGCTCGTTATTTCCCCAGGACCAGCATAGCTACTAACACAGAAGATGCTCCACAAATATTCTGGGGTGGTATTATCTGACTTGACTACATACGACTTCTGCTCTTGTGGTATCCTTCACAATTTTTATTCTAAAAAGCAGAAGAGTGGTTTTAACAAAACATCATCACCTTAGGTTGTGGCCTACTATGTACCAGACACTGCACAGATTCTTTCATCTCTGCAACTCTGCTTGAGTAGCATAATTATCCCCTTTGGTAAATGAAACATAAATTCATGAGGGCCCAGTGGCACAGAGAGTAAATAACAAGAGATCAGCATTAACTTCATTCTCAAGAAACTTGGACAGGTAGTAAAATGGCATTATTTTTCTTTAAAACAAAGATTAAAAAGTCTAGTAAAAGCAATATTTACCTCTATTTTTGGATAATCATTTTAACTTGGTTTCCCAATGAGCAACAAGACAGACATTTATTTTTACCTTTGTTTTAAAAAATAATTGTCCTTGTGTACACATGTATGTAAAAGGAAAAATGAGACCTGTTGAAACTATTCCAGGAATGGGGGTAGGGAGGATAAAGGAAAATGGTGGAGTGGGTGAATTCAACTATGATATATTTGATATATTGTAAGAACTTTTGTAAAGATCACAATGTACCTCCAACACAACACTTAAAAAAAAAGAAGAAAAAAACTGTCAATGGTTGGTAATACTTAATGATTAACATATTAATCTGTATTTTGCTAATATAAATACTAATTTTTAAATTGTAGTCAGACTTTTTTTAAACCAAAGGCAAAGAATATGAAGTGAGCAATGCTAAATTAGCTATATTGCCTGACAACAAAGTATAGCAGCCAAAAACAACAATTAAAAAAATAATTATTGGGCTGGATGTGGTGGGGCACACCTATAGTCCCAGCACTCAAAGGTGGGGAGGAGAGGAGGAACAGTCCAAGTAAATATTCCTGAGCTATTAAATGAGTACAACCATTTTTATTTCTTTAAAATATCATGCCTCAAGGAGAATGAATATATTGATACATACCACTTGATATGTGTGTAGGAGAAAAGAAATTCTAGAGTATAAAAGCATGTCAGGATTCTTTTTTTGGTGGTGATGGTAGTGGTACTGGGGTTTAAACTCAAGGCACTCTACCACTTGAGTCACTCTCTCAGCCCAGGATTTTATTTCTAAGATGTTTATCAAAAGTAAGGTATATGTTTTAGAAAAATACATTCTCTTTTAGAAACAAACATTTCTGTAATCTTAAATACAACTTAAAATTTTAAAAAAGCAAACACTGTAAATAAAATTACTTTGGGAAACAATCATGTTAAATGCGTGTAAATCTCTACACATAACACTGAGAGCTGGGAACTGCATTCATGCAAGTCGCGCACACATGTCAAGCAGAGACAGATGCTGTCTGAGCATGCACACAGCGGTATGTAGGCAGGCAGTACCGAACTGCAAAGATGACCATGCTACTTAACCCTTACCATTAAGCTATCTTAATAATCATTAAGTAGTACACTGTAATTTAAGGCATTAGAAACACGACACTTAAAAAAAATTTTTTTTTGGTAGGACTGAGATTTGCGCTCGGGGCTTTAAGTTTACAAAAGAGGCACTACTACTGCTTATTACCACCAGCCCTTATTTTACTTCTTTGTTAAAAAATTTATCAAGAGAAAGTTGAACAGTGCTTGTCCTCTGCTCCTTGTCATATAACTTATGATAGAATATCTACTCTATCCTTAGGGAATAGTTAGACACCTTTCTAAGTCTGAACCAGTTTGTGACATTCTGTCCTTTCCCTTTCAATGTCATGAAATATTTTCAGGGATCCCTTAAAGTGAAATTTCCTGAAATATCACTTTCCCCTCCTCTTCATCCTTCTTGTCATAGCAACTGCAACATTAATGTGGGAAGTTCAGTTTCACTAGGACCTCTGGCTATGTATCCACAGTCTCTTTAACGTGACAACGTTAGAAGTCCAGTCAGCTACTTCTGTGCTCCATTTATGTCCAATTTCAATTTCCCTTTCGGAGTTATTTTTGTTTGTTTGCACTTTCCTTTTTGCCAGGTTTGTAAATCTTCAGTTAATATACTGTGGTAACTAGAATTTAAACTGTGTTGTTGAGGGATTTCTGTTAACTAAACCAGGTAACTAAAATATGTGCATACAGAAATTGGACAAGGAGAGGACTGCCTGGAAATATATGTACATATTTGAGGTACACACACACTCACATGTGACTACATGCAAAAAAGAAAACTTTTTTCTACAGAAAAAAAGAAATGAAATGAGTAGGACCTCAAAAGTATCTAATTTGGGGGGGAGGGGCTGGGGAGGTTTGCTGGGGCTCAAACCCAGGGCCTTGTGCATGCTAGGCAAGAGTGCTACCAATGAGCTATCTCCCCAGCCTTTATTTCTCTACAGAGAATATGAAATTAAAATCTGGGTGTTGAATGCATGTACTATTTTGTTTGTCCTTTCATCTCCATGAGAAATTTACAATTCCAGAATTTCATCATTTTAAAAAACAAAGACCAATAAAATACATGAGTATTTTAAAAAATAGTTTTTATGGCTAAGTAGAAGGTAGAATAACCTTGTTTTATAGATTGCTTAATTATTAGGCTTAAAAGAAATCTAATAAGCATTCATTGTATTCTGAACCCTCCTTTAGATTCTGCAATTAATTACTGCTTCCAGTTCTTACCTGAATATCAGTCAAGTGCAACATTGTCTTCTTATAAGAAAGGACATCAAAATCAGTTGCTTTCCAGATTACATGATTGAAAAATTCACCTATTTTCGTCTTTTTGGTAATGACAATAAGATAATTACCTGCAAAAGCATAGCCAAACACACAAATATAAAAAAATGCAAAAATGTGGCTAGGTATGTAGCCCAGTAGTACAGCCTGTACTTAGCATGTACCCTGGGTTCAAACTCTAACACCACAAAAAATACCAAAACTATACTGTATTACTCAAATTAAAGGCCCTTGTGTGTATGTGTTTGTGTGTGTGAGTGTGTGTCTGGTACTAGGGTTTGAACTCAAGGCCTCACACTTGCTAGGTAGGCACTCTACACTTGAGCCATTCCGTCAGCCCAAAGGGCCATCTTGTAAAGCAATCTTATAATCTGTGAATACAAAGACTAGCATACTATTTAGAAAAACACCTACTGAAAAGTCAAATATTTTTCTCAAAAAGATAAAAGCAAGACCTTTTGGTAACCAAATGTGCAACCTTAGCAGGTAAGAAAGCAAAAACAGAAAATACTTCTCTCTCCTGTGACCCCCAAGCTACACAGGCACCACATGCAACTTGAAGCATCATAAGTGGGGTAACGCCCTTTCATACCACTCTGTGCTTTACTGCACTCTGAATGGTAGACAGATGTACTGGGGCAATGTAACTGTGTGCACTGTTACAAGGATTAGTGCTCAGGAATTAACAAGGCATCACAACCCATGCACAATACAGCACCCCTGACCCTGGCCACCTCTCCCCACACCATGTTAACAACAGAACCTAGAACTTCGCACATGCTAGGCAAGCACTCTACCAATGAACTACTCTCCCCCACCCCATTTCATTCTTAAGGTTTAAAGTCGTAGAGTGTTTGCCTAGCCAGTGGAGTCCCTGAGTTCAACCCCCAGTACTCCCAAGTAAAATAGAATTTCAGGTGAAAATTTAATCAATTGGGGAATATTATTGTTAGAAACTAATGACAAATACCTAACTTTTGAGATTTATTATCTAAAGCATGATATGAATTATAGTTTTCTCATACCAAACGTATGAGAACTTTTCTCATATTAAATGATGCCAATTTAATACCTTCTTTGTCCATTTTGGTTTATTTTCTCTTACCTGCCACCAGATGGATTGTACCCATATTACCAAATATTGGTCTTGTGACAGCTGAAGGAGGAACATCTTTCTTGACTTTAAAATAAGAAAAAGAAATAAAGAAGTAAAAATCACATAGAAAAAGCTGAAAACTTAGTATGATTTCAGGTTACTCAACTAAATCAGTTTGCATGAGTGACTTATGAAAGCAACATTGCTTCATTAATGTCAGACCTCCATTTTGGCAGAATATAAATAAAGATGTCAAGAGGCATACACAGTAAAAAAAGGCTCTTCCTATCTAGTGTATGGTCATCAAGTCAACTGTGGGTTATTTCTACTGCTACTTTTTCACCTCAACGGAAAGTAAGTACTTAAGTAAAAGTAAGTAATGGTTTGAGAAAAAATTTTAATCCTGACATGCAACTAACAGAATGCAAAAAAAGGATCTGCCAAACATCTAAGAATGTGGGAAGTGGAGGCAAAGACCCTTGGGATGAAGACGACGGTGTGCATCCTGTGTCTAGCAGCAATTTACACAGATGAGCAAGGAGGCATCATCTTTAACCTGGATTTTATCAATGATGTCCTTATAATAAAATATGTGTTTACGGAATTCATTTCACAGTTCTTAACTTTCAACCCATGTACTTTCACAAAACATACTTTGTAAAACTCTAATTTAAAAAATAATGCCTGGCGGGGAGAAGAGTCCCCAGTCAAATAAGCTTATTTTGCTTCATCTAAAGTCACCCCTTCCCTCTCCTCTCTCTCAGAGGCTCTCAGAAGAATACAGTGAGAGAAATCCATTCAACTGTTTAATCCAAGGTTTCCACATATGTGGCTAGGAAATTTTTCTTTCAGTTATAGCTTGTTATATCATGAAGCCCGTTTTAGAAACACTGCTATAAAACCAAGACCTGCTTCTCAAAGGCAGTCACAGAAGTTATTCTGTTATTCTCAATAACTAATTCTGAAAAAGATCTAAAATTTGCTTGTGTCATTGTCAATTTACTTAGCAATGCTAAACCAATTAACTAACGTGAAAAACAGGACTGAGCTGGATGTGGTGATGCAGACCTGTAACCCAGCATTCAAGGGGTAAAGGCAGGAGGATCTTGAGTTCAAGGCCAGAATGGACCCCTTGCTAGTAAGTGGGAGGCCCTGAGTGCAATCCAGTACCAACACAAAAGTTGAGTTTGGGATACACAGCAAGACCCTTTTAAAAAAAGATCTTTAAAAAACAAAGAAAGAATGCCTGAGCAGTGGACAGTTAAGAGAAAATTCTAAATATACCGAGATTATTTGAAAAACTCAAATGTACCACTGACAGAATAATAATTTTATTAACTGGAGTGTAATACAAACTGCAGTAATTCCTAGACTGTATGTTAGTTTTTTTTTATGGAAGAAAAAATCATCCTTCTGTGGCCACAGTCTGCATTCCTAATGGAGAAAAGAAACTGGCTAAGAAGCTGTCAGTAAGTCTGACCTCATCATCACTGACTTTGGCACAGCACTTCACCATGTGTCTGCTGCGGACCGCACGGTACCATCACCTTATAGCTAAATACTCTTTGATCTTTAGCTTTTTCATCTACTCAAATGGGTCTGAGATCTCCACTTCCAAATGAAATGTCACTGAATGGTCAAAAACAACTGAAAATACATCCATACTAAAGCTCTTATAACCTTTGCTTGCATTGGTGTGGTATAAAGAAGTAGTAATGTAAAGCAGTAGTGCAATGAAACCTTAGCAGAAGTATACTAACATTGCTTAAAACCAACCTGCTATTTGAGACAACAGCTACCAAGTCACAGACAATAGGAAATGTCATATTATCAAACTAAACCAAGCTCTAATTCCAGTTGATCAAAGGAACACTGTATGGTACTTACCAAAATAACCAAACAAAAAAAATGTAGTTTTTTCTTATACTTATTAACTCACTGAAAAATATTTTTATATTTTCCTTTTTTCCATTCAAAGAGCACTTACTAAATGACTACTCTATGGTTTTCATATATTTATAAGAAAAAAACAGTTGAGGCCATGGCTCAGGTGATAGAGTCGCCACTCTAGCAAGTGCAACTGCAAGGCTCTGAGTTCAAACACCAGTATCATCCAAAAAAAAAACCAAAAAAAACAATTTAGAACTCTTGTCTGGAGTGAATTAGAATTTTTATACTAACGAACTTGTGAAATTCCAATGTAATTATCAAATGGTACATTAATTTGTCAACAAAATGACTTCATATTAACCTATTCAGAAATCAGAGTGCTTCATATAATTGATGAAAAAATTATTTTTTCACTCCAGAGA